CATCTCTGCTTCTTAACCCTATCCGTACTCGTGATTTACCATCGTATCCATACAATGTGGGCAGCTCTGTGCCCCCACTTTCCAAAGAGGAAATTTACTCTTTAATCCGATCTGTATGCTTTGCATAGCAGTCTGTCAAAATGATTTTTTGAGAAATACTGAAAGTTTCAAAAATATCTTCTCATTAGAAGTGTTCTAAAATGTGAAGAATACAACATCGGGGGTACAAAAGTGACCCCACGGCGTACGGATAGGGTTAAATGTTTTTACGAAGTTGAAGGTAGCATTTAACCTGTACAATTACTAATACATGTACCTGTACATTCGAAATTGTTGAAGATTAGATGACTATCCATTGTTAAGGGGTAAAACAGCTGTTTTAGACAGGAAGGTGTTTTATACAGTGTAATTTTACTGTAAAAATGTTTTTAAACACAAGGAGGGAAATTGGAGTTGACCGTTTGTTACCAGTTTGTACAGGTGATTGTCTTATATAGGTGGCTGTTACAGCAGGTTTGCCTGTATTTCTATTTTGACCACAGCTGGGCTTGCTGTCTGTTTTAAACAGTTATGTCGTTTGTCAATTTATCCAAGTGCATGGTTGATGGGTGCTCTGGTTTTGTGGTTTGCTCCTCCTTTCCTATCAAACAGCTTTCGTCCATATTGCTTCTCCTTTTGTGTGCTTGTTACTTTCTTGTAACATCTCGAATCTTCGGCACTTATATGACCTATTTTTGTTGCAAGTGCCATAAAACTGACTAAATCATGAAACAAAATTCGCCCATGTTTCCTTGACTGCTGTGTCCAGTATCGGTCAAGCGGGTGTGGATTGCCACTGCAGCCACGAGTCGGACGTGTCCATCATACAGATCCTCTTCCTGATCAATGAGGTGAGTTCTTTTTTTTATGGACCCTTTGTTTTGTGTGTCTCAGTCAGTTTCCCATCTGGCTTTCAACTGACCTATCTGTGTTGTAAGTGCGGTAAAACTGTTGTTTGAAACTGAAGATTTCCCATCTACAGTCTTTCTCATCTCTCCCCCTGCAATACAAATTATCCCTACTTAACTATATATGCCCTTCTCTCCCACAGACGTTGGGTGGTTAGCGGGTGCTCTGGTGTGGTTTGCTCCTTCTTTCCTGTCAACCATTTATCGTCCTTATGTCTCCTGCTTTTTTTGTGTTTGTTACTCTCTAATAACACCTTTGATCTTCGGCGCTTATAACACCCTATTGTGTTGCAAGTGCCTTAAAACTTTTACTAAGAGATAGACTTGAACCCACAGCTCACCCACGCAGTATAGACTTGATCTGATTCAATAGCCGGTTCACTTATCTATCTCAGAATACCACTAGACACCCCTCCCCCTCCCATCCCACCCCTGCAACAAAACGCTCTTAGTTTATTGCCCTGACATCAGGCCTTTAAAAAAAAAAAAGTACCATGTCAGTGGAATGAATGTAAGCCCACCTTGTAGGTTGACATTTTTGTGCCTGGATATATCTGTACTTTCAGAAGGAAGTTATTTGGATAATTGAGGGCATTAATGTGGTTTTGAGGTCTTTACAATACAAATAGCTCACCGTGGCTCATTAGTTGTTCCTTGTACTTTTCTCCAGAAAGCACAAGGACTTTACTTGTAATACTGTGTGTGTTGGAGACTTTTGCTTTTAAGATGTCAGGGGGAGCTCACACAGGGCTCATTGTCTCACTTTGCACTGACTAATGTGTTGTGCTAACACTCTCTTGGCTTTTGCATGGGTGCAGAGAGAGAGAGAGAGAGAGAGAGAGAGAGAGAGAGAGAGAGAGAGAGAGAGAGAGAGAGAGAGAGAGAGAGAGAGAGAGAGAGAGAGAGAGTACACACAATAATATTTAAAAAATGGAAAAAAAATGATTTGAACTTTTTCTGTTATACTTTCTTGGTCTTAGGGAGCCCTGGTGACAGTGACCAACGATGATCACCTCCACTTGTGGAATTTCCGACAGAAACAACCTAGCATCGTCCACTCGCTCAAGTTTCAGAGAGAAAAGTAAATGACTGTCGTTTAAACTGTCTTTTTGTTGAGCTGTTTCATTTATATCTACTGAGTGTGTCTGCTATCGGTTACAGACCTCTGCATTTGCTGTTCTAAACTTGGTTTACCGAGATGTCATGCTAAGTAATTTGCATGATAGATTTTTTGTACCACTACTTAAATATTATACTTATTACATTTTGTTTCTGTCACAAGAATAATGATTAGTTGCATTTGACAATGCTGTTCAAGAGAGAAAATTACAAATTAGGGTTATTCTTTTTTTTCTTCTTTTTTACATTGGTGGTGCATTAAAAAAAACAAGTTTCTAAGGAGAAAAATCTCATATGACCTCTGAAGTGGTGTTTGAATGCGCTTTGTTATAATTCTTGTCACTATGAAAAGCCAAGTGTCTGTGCTGGTGGCATGTTTTGCATAATTGGAACATAATTTCCCCTGTGAGAAATGAACACACTCTTGACTAGTGGCTAAACAAACAAACAAAAAAAAAGGCCATAGTCTGCCACAGTTTTCCTCCTTTATAGATATTATGAACGCATCTTTGTTTTCAGCTTTGTTATTTTGATGGCCTGCCTGATATAAATATTGCAGTTCAAGTCACCATGAAAAATCAAGTGTCCATGCTGGTAGTCACATATTTTGCCTAATTGGAGTATAATTTCCTCTTTGAGAAATGAATATATACTCTGCGCAAGTGGCAAGCAAAAAAATTTTTTTTTAAATGAAAGCATTTTTGTCTGCCCCAGTTTTTCTATGATTATGGCAATTATAAATGCATCTTCATTCTCAGTTTCCTCATTTTGATGGCCTGCAACACATACATAATTTATGGTTCCTGGTTGAAATTACTCAGCTTCAGAGGAGTGTTTGCACAGAATAATATTTTAGTTTCTTCGATTTGAGAATGGTCTGTAAAGCTTGGAGCTCGTTCAGTTTCAAAGGTCTAGGCAGGATGTCAAAGCAGCATTCGAACAAAAACTTCAACAGAAAGTCTTTCCCCTACCAATCCATCTCCTCCAGCAAATTAAAGGATAATTGTTACTATTTTCAGACAGAGAAACAGATGAAAGAAATGAAAGTATTAGAAGCTACTGCTTTCTGTACTGTATCTCTGAAAAAGACACTGTAGGCTACCTTGTTTTTCTAGACCATCGTACTTGGAATATGTTCATGTACAAGCACACACACACACACACCCACACACACACACACCCACACACACACACACACACACACACACACATACACACACACACACACACACACACACACACACACACACACACACACACACACACACACACACACACACACACCCACACCCACACACACACACATACACACACACACACACACACACACACACACACACACACACACACACACACACACACACACACACACGTCTGTTTGTCTTTCTGTCTCTCTGTCTGTCTGTCTCCGTCCGTCCATCCATCCATCCATCCATCTGTTTTTCTGTCTGTCTGTCTGTCTGTCTGTCTGTCTGTCTGTCTGTCTGTCTGTCTGTCTGTCTGTCTGTCTGTCTGTCTGTCTGTCTGTCTGTCTGTCTGCATGGTCATAATAGGATTTTGATCTCTAAATCTCATTTTCTGTGTGGAAGTTAGATTTGAGGTAAACCTCATGCTGAGAAAAAAAGGGAACTAACTTGTGAGCTTCTGTTTGTTTCAGAGTTTCCCGTTGCCATCTGCCTTTTCAAAGTAAATGGCTGTATGTGGGCACGGAGAGAGGGAATGTCCACATGGTCAACATCGAGTCTTTCACCTGCTCGGGTTATGTCATCAACTGGAACAAGACTATTGAGCTGTGAGTACCTTCCTATTCGAGCAGAGAAAGAGACTGGGTGGTTGAAAGGTGCTGTTGGGAGGTTCTACTGCTTTATTGTCGTTCTGTTATTTCTGTCTGTCTATCTTAATTTTTCCCTTCAGTAAATGTGATGAGGCATGGAGACATTTGTGCCTCAATTATCTCTACTGGCGTAAGCTGACGAAACGCCTTTTTTTCTTCACAGCAGTTTCGAGAAAAAGAGTTTTTTTGGTCAGTATATCCATTTAAATTTAGAGTGATTCTGAAATCTAAATTAATTTCTAATTGATTCAAAAACTTATCACAGTTTCACTTTGATTTTTTTCACACTAGTAGGGTAACTGATCAGGCTTTCGATTTAGATCTAGTGAATAAAACATTTTGGTACCAAAATAAAAAAGGCATTTTGTCAGCTTACGGCAGTCTAGTGAATGGATTACCGTCCTCTTAAAAAAAATGATGGTTTTCATGTGGACATGCTATTCTTTACTCAAACAAAGAATCCATAAAGAGAAGCCGAGAGTACAGATGCTGTCCACTTGAACTAGTCTTTCATCACAAGTGGTGTCTGTGTTTTTGTCTTTAATGTTGTTGGTGGGTTTCAAAATCTTCATTGTGGGTGGTTGAAGAGTGAACTAAGTAATTAGTGCATTTTGATTGTTGCAAAATAATATGAGAACTTTCTGTTAATATTCTCCACTGATATGTGTGTTTGGGGAAATTCTCATTGAAAAGGTTGAGGATCTGTTAAACATCACTGCATGTTCACCATTGACGATAAGCCATCAAACTAAGTAAATTTATTTTTCATGAAAGTGGAGTTAGACATGCATTTGGAATAAGGACCTTGAGTTTCATGTGTCATGCATGCTTTTTTATATTGTCAAGACATAGTGGTGTTGTGCAGACTATGAATGTTCTTTTGATCTGTGACTAAATTGAGGGGGCTTCTTTTGCGTAAAGGTTAAATTTTTTTGTAGTTGCTTGGGGTAGACATGTGTTTCAATCCCATTTGGGGAAGATAACTTCTTGAGTGTCTCTGTATTTCTCTGCTGAGATGCTGTTTTTGCCCCCTCTCCTTATGGATAAATATTTTGTAGTTGGGATGGAAAGTGGTTGCAAAATTACTTTTTTTTGGAAGTTGCAAATTCATGTTTTTTTCTTGTTCTGTCCTTTTTTTTTTTTACTTAGGTCCAGAAAAACCCATCCAGGCCCTGTAGTTCACCTGAGTGACAATCCTGTGGACTCCACAAAGGTAATGAACCGTAATGTTATTGTTCTGTTTGAAGTGCGTCTACCATAGATGGCATTTGTGACTTAATGTTGGCTCTCTGTTCTAAATGACTCGTTAAAAGAATTTAACACATCTAAGATGGATGGCTTAAATGATTTGTCGATGGCTCCCCCATGTCTACGTTGGTTCATTTTGTTTGTTCTTGTCCTCTGTGGGACATGCGCTGTGGATGTAGCTGTGCCAGTCTTGCATAATGGCTGTCACTCACATAAACCTGTTGCCAGATGTGTTGTGTCAAAAGTGAAGCTTGTATATGTGGTCGATAGGCTCTCTACTAGTGTCTGTTTCTTCTGCTTTTTCATTTTGTAGCTTTTATAATTATAATAATATAATCCCTCTTTAATATGTGGCGTTAGTGGTTAGGTTGTTGGGCTCATAACCAAAAGATCATGGGTTCAGACCTTATCAGGGGCCTGCAAAAGATGTGGAGATGATGTTGTAATTTGACTTTCTTGCTTATTTCATGCAGGTGGTTGGAGGGCATTATTTGCGTTTTCCTATTTTCATTCTTCCTGTCTGTCTTCTTTTTTCATGTGCAACAAATGACCGTTTTCATGTTAATGCATCTCTCTTTATTTAACCTAGCAAACAAATCTTGAGTTCATGAGTGATGATGATATCATAGACTCCTACTTCACGCTTTACCCCCTTGGGCAGTGCTACTGACTGAAGTGTCTTTAGGCCATTCCCAAAGGGGGGACACTAACATGTTCTTATGCACAGTAGAATTGTAAATGGGCCGATTCATCAATGTCATGCTCATAACTGTGCCTGAACTGCAACAGGGAACGGCTTCTTTTTCTTTCCTAATCCTTACTATCGTCATTTTTCCTTTACTTCTTTTGTATGTTTTTCACACTCTTGTGACCTGCTATTTCCGGGGTGCCTTGATAGTTGAAGCAGACCTTGTGCTGTTGAAGCTAAAGAGGTGAGCAGACTAAGCCTGATTCCCTGTATGGACTTTTCTGTTGACATCCACCCCTTGGCGCTCATATGACCTTATGCAGTTGCGAGCACCATAAAAACTCTACTAAAACTAACTTAAAACTCTACTAAAAAAAAACCAACAGAAAAACTTCTCGCTTTTCTCTTCCCCAGCTTCTGATTGGCTTTGAATCAGGCGCCATTGTCTTCTGGGACCTGCGTTCCAAGAGCCCAGATTATAGATACAACTCCCAGGAGGTCAGTGTTAATGTGTCCACCTTTGCTCAGTTTCTTAGTTACCAGAGAAGTATGGGTTTGTTGGATGAATACAGTGGAACCTGCTCTAATGGCCACATTTATAAGATAATCACCTGTACAAACAATCACTATTCACTATTCATTTCCCCCTGCATTTTTTTTTTTTCATTACAATGGCATCGTGTGAGATGGTCACGCTTTTAAATTAGCTACTTTTCCCCTCTACAATGGGTGGCCATCTGAGACAATTTCGACTATGGTTTACAATAAAAATATAGTGGTCTTGAAAGATTGGGTTCTTGGGATAGTTAACATTGAAATACGTTATATTTTTCTTTTACTGCTTTTACTGTGGTCTTGAAGAATCTAGAGTTACAATAAGAAGTGAGGTGGAAGTTGAAATTTTATTGTTCTAATTTATATATGGGTACATAAAGTTGGCTTGCCAGTTGTCCCAGTTTTGAAGAGGTCATGTCTTATGTGACAAGTAGGAGCTAAGTGTACTTGTCTTGAATTATAGTGCCATTGCCTGATAATATAATATATTTTATATGATAACATATTAGTTGCATGATAACTTAACTCTTGTCTGATGACATTATCTGTTTTTTGAAAATGTACTTGTCGCCTGAAAATGTATATATTGTCTGATGATATGTCTATTGCCCTTGTAATATCTCTATTGCCTGATAAAGTATCAGTTGCCTGAAAACATGACTTTTGTCTGATGAAGTGTAAATTGTGGATGTTTTGCGGGTGCTCATGTAGTTTTGCTCTTTCTTTCCTTTCAAACATCTACTGTCTTTATCTCTTCTCCTTTTCTATGTATGTTGCTCTCTAGTAACACCTCTTATCTCTGGCACTTATATGACCTATTTGTGTTGCAAGTGCTGTAAAACTCTTTTAAAAGACCCAACCTTAATGCCATTGTCTCTCTTTCACCCATGGTGATGTGTGCAGGCCCTGCGGTCTATATCGTGGCACAATGAAGGCAAACAGTTCATGTGCAGTCACTCAGACGGCAGTCTCTCCACCTGGAATGTCAAGGCCCCACAGAGGCCTGCCTCTGTCACTTCACCTCATGGTGAGTCCTGCCCTACAATTCAACATTTGCCTTTTTGTATGTCTTCTTTGAGTTGTTTACTCCGTGAAGAGATTAGTGTGGGTAGTTGGTGGGTGCTCTGGTGTGGTTTGCTCCTTCTTTTGTATAAAAAATATATTGTCCTCATCTCTCTTTCTTTTTTTTTTTTTTTTTGTTACTTTCTTGTAACACCTTTAATCTCTGGCTCTATTATGACCTAGTTGTGTTGCAAGTGCTGTAACGCTCATACTAAAACAAACAAACCTTCAGTTCCACCTTTGCCTTTCCATTTGTCTTCTTTGAGTTGTTAGCTCTGTGAAGAGGTTAATGGAGTATTGTATTCAATTGTGGGCTGTCTTATTGTCTTGAATGAATGGCATAGAAATGTCATTATGATAATAAATTGTGTACTGTCATATAATGCGTTCATGCATTATCCTCCTTTTAAAGAGATTAGAGTATGTATATTTTTACCTTAAAAAGAATGGCAAAGAAGTGCTGCTGAAGATTAAAATGATCACTGTCATTTTTTTACAATATAATATATGTATGGGTTTATATTTTGTAGTCAACTGCTTGCTACAAATCTTCTTCTGTGATTTAGATTTATTTTTGTGAACAAATAATGAAGTCTGTTTCTTTGTGTTCAACATGAACCTTCGTTTGTTCATTCTGAATTACATTTTCTATTAGAGGCTGTTTAAGAATGAAAGAAATTTGCTGTTCTTTTGGTCTACAAAAAATTTATGTAACATTTGTGCTTCTCTGTGCTTGAGTGTGTGCATGAATGCCTGCACGCATACATTTATACACAAGCATGCGCACGCACACACACACACACACACACACACGCACACGCACACGCACACGCACACACACAGTGATTGGTTGGCAGGTGCTCTGCTGTGATTTGCTCCTTCTCTGTCAAACATCTATCGTCCTTATCTCTCCTTTTTTTTTGTGTTTGTTACTCGCTTGTAACACCTCTAATCTTTGGCACTCGTATGACTTTTTTGTGTTGCATGTGCTGTTAAATGCTTGCTAAAAAACATGCACACACACACTCTCTCTTACACACGCACTCACACACACACACACACACACACTCTCTCTCACACACACACACACACACACACACACACACACACACACACACACACACACTCACACACACATGCATACGCACACACTGCGTTCATATACGCAACTGTTCACATATTTTGTATTTGATTGATGTATTTTGTTTGTTTATGTGTTATTTTTTTATTCTTTTATTTCAGCCAAAATTGGTCCAGATGGGAAACCAGACCTGTGCAAACCCATTGCTAAAGTGGAGTGGAGATCTACTCGAGCTGGGTATGTGTCAATTAGCTGTTGATCTTTGAGGAACAAGTTTTATATCTCACCCCATCTTTAGCTGTGATTCTGTGAACGTTTATTATGTTTGTCCGAAATAAGAAATCTATGTTGTAGATGATGAAAGCTTCTAAAGATTCGTCGACTGCTCAGTGTAAGACTTTGTCATATGTCACTTTTTAACCTTATCTGTACGCCCTGGGGTCATTTTGTACTCCAGGGGTTGTATTCTTCACATTTTAGAATACTTCTAGTACGAAGATTTCTTTAAAGCTTTCAATATTTCTCAAAAAATCATTTTGTCAGACTGCTTTGCGAAGCGTACAGATCGGATTAACGAGTAAATTTCCACTTTGGAAACAGAGTTCCCCATGTCGTATGGATACGATAGTAAAACACGACATACGGATAGGGTTAAAATGATTTCTGGTGGAGTCTAACACTAACCAATCAAGGTGTAGATGAGAGTAGTGAACAGTTTGAAGTGCAGCTTTAGGATAAGAAAATGTCTTTAATTGCTAGAATAGGATACTATATTTATATATTATACCTAGTATAGATTACTTTTACCCTACAGTACAATTTGCATAGGGCACTAGTATACCTAGAATAGTGTACTTTATATCAGTATTGTTATTGTAGAATACGATACTATAATATACCTGTGTATCTGTCAGTGGTACGCCTGGAACAGAGCACTCTCTTCCTGTGCCTCTGTATTATACCTAGAATGGGGTACTTTTTACCAGGGATTGGAGTATACCTAGAATAGGGTATTTTGTTTCTGTTTGTCTGTGGTAGGGTACTTTGTATCTCTGTATCTGTAGCATGCCAAGAATAGGGTCCTTCATACCTGTGTGTCTGTAGTAAACCTGCTCAAGAGGTTTGAACGTTTTATTTTAGTTTGTCACCCCCACTGCATTGTTCAGATTATAACAGCGAGTGGTTGGAAGGTGCCCCTGGTAGGTTGGCGAGTGCTCTGGTGTGGTTTGCTCCATCATTCTATCAAACAACTATCGTCTTTATCTCTCCTCCGTCTTTATTATGTTTGTTACTCTCTTGTAACACCTCTAATCTTCAATGACCTTATTGTGTTGCAGGTGCTGTAAAACTCTTCCTTAAAAAACTCTTCTCCACTCAGATGCTTTTTAGTAACCAGGTGTTTTTATCCTGTCTACCAAACAAATTAAGAGCACAGGGAAAATGCCATTTTTCACAATTTTTCGTTTTTGCCCGTTTTTATCCTTTGAGTTGTTTTGTTTGTCTATCAATATCATGTTTATCAAAATGACTGTATTCATCTACTTATGACATAATGCACAACAGTCCCACTTAAAAAGGATGGCTGTAGTCATATAAATAAAGGCACATTTGCTTGTTTAACACAATCCTCCGCCATTGAATTCTGCAACGAGAATGTGTGTGTGTTGTGGAGCTGTGTGTGTTTGTGTGTGTGTGTGTGTGTGTGTGTGTGTGTGTGTGTGTGTGTGTGTGTGTGTGTGTGTGTGTTGTGCGCGTGCATGTACGTGTACATGTGTGTGTGTGCGTACGTGTGCATGTGTGTGTGTTTGTGTGCGTGTGCATGTGTGTGTGTTTGTGTGCGTGTGTGTGTGCATGCGCGTATGTGTGTGTGTTTGTGTGTGCGTGTGCGTATGCGTGCGTATGTGCGCATGCTTGTGTATATGCACACGTGCGTTGTTAAATGGTCTCACAGTTTGCTTTTTCTGTCCTTTGATTCGTCAGTTAAGTTGAGTGAAAATTATGCATTGCATTTGCTTAGCGCTTAGGGCCTTCTTGGGATTTGACGCTATGTAAATTCTCATCATCATTATTATTACTATTATATTATATATGTAAATGATTTTGTGGACCCCCTCAGGGAGGCCATGGTGGTGTTCTCCGGTGGAATGTCCTATGACCGAGCGGGCCGCACGCCGAGCATTACTGTGATGACGGGCAAAAGCACCACGGTGCTGGAGATGGAACACAACGTGGTGGACTTTGTCACCCTCTGTGATACTCCCTGGGTTAATGGTCAGTTTGTTTGTTTGTATAGATATTTTCGGTAACAGTCGCATACTGCTGAAGTGCGAAATTAGGTTTGATACACCCTGGGTTAATGGTCAGTTTGTTTGTTTTTGTAGATATTTTTGGTAACAGTCACATACTGCTGAAGTCCGAAATTAGGTTTACTTTTAAATTTTATATTGAAGTGATCATTTGGAAACATGCTTACATCATGTCTTAATATAGTGCAAGTGTAAGTCGAGAAGATGATGGAATACAACATCAGAACAAAACATGTACATCTGTTGTTTGGCATGCTTAATACAAGTTCATTGTTTTTCTTAAAAGTTTTAGTTTGGGACATTTTAAGTTTTGCAACTTTTACCATTGATATGTTTAGGACACTGTCGACACTGTTTGGTCTTGTAAGCGTCACATTTTCATTTTTTTCCCTTCCTAGCATCATGTTATGAATTATTGTCACACTTCATGGTATGCCCTGGGTTACGGGTCAGTTTTTAAGTTAGACCCCGCGGGGCAGTGCCACTGACTGTAGTGTCTTTAGGCCATTCCCAAAGGGGGGACATTTCTCGTTCAAGCATAGTAGAATTGTAAATGGGCTGATTCATGTCACGCTCATAACTGTGCCTGATCTACAACAGGGAACTGCTGCTTTTTCTTTCCTGATCCTTACTATTGTCATTTTCCCCTACTTGTTTTGTATGTTTGTCACTCTTTTGTGACCTGCTATTTTGGGGTGCCTTGATAGTCGAAGCACACCGTGTGCTGTTGAAGCTAGAGAGGTGAGCAGTCTAAGTCTGATTCCCTGTAAAGAGTTCTCTGTTGACATCCACCCCTTGGCGCTTACATGACCTTATTCAGTTGCGAGCGCCGTAAAACCCTCTACTATTAAAAAAAAAGTTTTAAAGTTAGTTTGGGTATATGACTTACGGCCACAGTTCATGGTCAGTTTATTAGTGTATATGTTTTATTGCTTGGGTCAATGGCCAGTTTATTGGTTTACAAGTGTACATGTTTAATTTCCTTGGTTAACGGTCTATTTAGTTTGTCGGTATGCATATATTATTATGTTTAGAGGCCTGGGATTAATAGTCATCATAGTTTGTTGGATTAGTTTACATAAATGTTTTAAGGCCTGGATAAATGTCAGTTTGTTAGTTTGGGGTATATTTTTTATGGCTTAGGTTATCAGTCAGTTTGTAAGTTTGTTAATGAAGTCCCATGTGTTTTTGTTAGAAACAGAGAACAAAATGCTGACCTCACATACTTGGATGATATTGCTCTCTTACTCATTTTAGATAATGTCAATGAAACTAAAAAGTCAGCATGAACTAGAAATATTAGAAAGTAGAGATGGGTTATTCTTATGTGTCTTCTCCCATCATTTAAATTAGAAGATTCATTTTCTTTTGCTTGTGTGAAAAACTTTTTACTAATTAGTTACCCGGTTAGAGCATAACACTATTGATGTACATGTCCAACCTGCTCTTCTCTTAAGCCAGTGCTTTCTGTTTGTTTCAGATTTCCAAGATCCTTATGCCATTGTTGTACTGCTGCAAAATGACTTAGTTGTTATAGACCTCACAACACCGGGGTAAGATCTCACTACTGTTCTCAACTACTCTTTTCCACACCTGGGCATGCTGTTAGTTCTGTTGATATCATGCTGGGCTACGGTACTCATGACTCTGGATTGAATACCCAATGGGGCCTTCTTGAACTTAGGTTATTTGAGGGAGTTTTCAAGGTCCAACCGCTTTACTTAGTCTTATGGGAGATACTTGCTTAATTTGGAGGTCCCTCCTCGTACATAACCTTACAGTGCTGAAAAGGGTGTTAACCCAAGCAATATTTTTGTCAATGATGGACAGTGCCTCTACCTTGCTGTCTGCATGCCAGAAGGCTTTGTAGGTAGTGGAGACTGCTCAATCAGACGAACAAACTGTTTGGAATTTGGGGGAACAGTAGGGGGAATTGTAAGGCTGGCGGAGCTAAACGGACGGTTTGACCTTGGGACTTTAGAGTGATGGGCACTGTATTCTGGCAACAGTACGGCATTGTTTTAAGGGTTCCACTGTTAATAGTCTCTACTTCTCTTCTTCCCTTCTATAGTTTCTGCGAGTCTGTCTTACTCTTCCTCCTGCATTTTATGACCATTATTTACTAATTGTGCTTCTATTTACATAAACTTGACAATACACAGCGCTTGCTCCTTTGTGATAGTCTAGTAAAGAAAGCTGAGATGCACTTAGGCATTAACTTGTTTCTCGCTGAGGTTGGGAAAAAAAGTTCATATTTGTCTCATGTTTTGCTTTTCTTTTGCAACTGATTTTCAGACTCCTGTGTGTTTTAATGGTTTGTCTATTTGTAGTTGCATATTGAAGACATGAGACTGATTCCTGCATGAGGAAATTATTTCATAGAGTATCCCCATCCGTTGGCTGTCATACTGGGTTAGCTTTGACAGACATGGTTGACATATTCTGCTTCCTAAATGATCTTAAATGTATTGATAAGATGTGACATTTACCATTATTGTTTTCAGCTATCCGTGCTTTGAGAATCCTTATCCGATGGACCTGCATGAGTCCCCAGTGACCGCCTGCCAGTATTATGCTAACTGCCCCATGGACATCATCCCTGCACTCTACTCAACCGGCAAAAATCAGAAGAAGACTGGGTTCAGTGAAAAGGTGAGGGCAAATAACCCTCTCATAACACGACATATTGTAGCTTTTGTTCACACCATATATCGTCGGTCGCCTGATAAAACCGTGAATTCCACACATTTTCGAAAATCGTTTTTTTGCATATTTTGATAGTGCTCGGTGAGATACATGTCCCTGTAAAACAATTTTTCAATTATCTCAACTCAAACGTGTAATCTGACGTAATAAGAAAATCGTGAATAAACACCGTGCCCCAAAAGTCGCCTGATGAAACCGTGAATCCCACACCTGTGTGGAATTCACGATCTCATCCGTTGGTTTATGACTTGTGAGGCTGACCGTTGGCGCCGTGAACGCCTCTTTAAACCATTGAAATATGGACGACTGCGTTGAGCAAACATAATGGTCGGTCAGTATTCATGGTTTCCAGGCCAAAGATTAAAATTTATGATGTTGACTGCATGCGTTTTGCGGGAAAACCTCTCTGTCACATAATTAAAATGCCTATTTCCTAGATGCAGGACTGGTACGTTTCACAACGACTGTGAAATTCGAATGTGTGATGTGTGTGCCTTTCTAGTAGTGGTTATACAATTTTGATCTTGCTCATTTGCAAAAAAAATTTTTAAAAATTAAATAACAAATTCGAAAATTGACGTTGTCAAGTATAAATTACAAGTATATTTCCGTGTGGTATCACAACCCAAACTTGTATGACATTGAAAGCTCTTTGATTTGACATCAGAGTTCCCTAACGAGAAAAGGAATTTTGAGAAGCCGAGCAATGTGAACCATTTTGGGCATCAGAGAAAGCTACAGAAAATACAGCACGGAAATAGTAGAAGAACCAGACTTCAATGAAGAAAAAGTATCATTCAAAGTACACGGTGTGTTGGAACAGATCAACGGTGCTTTTTTAACCTACGAGAGAGTAAAAGAGGATGAGAGAGAGAGAGAGGGAGAGGGAGAGGGAGAGGGAGAGGTGGGGGGGGGGGGGGGAAGCAGGCAGCAATTTAAGCAATACAAATCAAGAGATGGGACAATTAAAAAAAACTAATGAACTGAACCCCAGATGTGATTGCTCAACCAAATCAATGGACTACTCACTATTAAAAAACAACGCCAGAACAACTATCTGAACAACTATCTCTGTCTTTGTTTGGACTTTGACACGGGGAGACAGAAAGTCCTAGGTAAACGGTAGTCTCAACTCGAAAGAGTACAATTTAAGGGAAGGCGATACACCAAGCTGAAAGATGCACACTTGGGTTTTTTGTCTGAAAAAGAATGACCAGATCAAAGTTTGCAGGATATTGATATCTATGACCGGGCTCACCCATTGTAAACTGCTCTAGAAGTGCCCATGCCAGTTTCATCATCGTCTGGCTCACCCGGAACAGACAAACACTTTCCACTATTCCCTACCCTGGACTAACTTCTTCACATTTTTCAAATGTTTTTCCAGTTTTCAGTTCATCATTTTCTGCGACTTTTCTACAGGTCCCACATGGTCTTCCCTTGATCTTTTAAGCTGTTGACTCCAAATTAAAACTTTTTTGTTATGTAGCTGCCTGATTTCCAAATGGTCTGCTCAGTCCAATCCATCTCCACTGCTTTCTTCTGCGCGAAAATTTTCTGGTCATAACTCCCTCATTGGTGACTCTGTCCATCTGATCCTGAGAAACTTCCTCAGGCACTTGTTGATGACAACCTGGATCTTCCAGAACTTTGTAAAGGGTGCTTTAGAAGAGCGCAGCCCAGCTGCACCACCAATCAATCCACAAGCCAAGGAGTTTCTGCTCACATCTGTGGACATGTTTCTGAAGGTTCCCTCTCACTCTTGCCCGCAAATCTCTGAAAAACTGTATCTTGATCCCTGATTCTGTAATCTGTCGGAGCTTGAAACAGCCTGCACTGGTCAGGGACAATCTGCCTTTTATGTCAGGCTACTCAAATATGTGCAAGATGAAAAGAATATGTCGATCTATGAGTAAAAAAAAATCAATGTGAATTGTGCGTGAGTTTTGAGTCTTGACAGCATCAGCCAGACTAAGTGGGAATCTCACATGTCAGAAAAGAACATGACAAAGAAAGGGCACACAATGGTTAAAACCTTTGCTCTTAGGCAAGAAGACCTTGTGATGATTTGCCTGAATCTTCAGGGTGTACTTTTGTCATTGTCTATTAATTCATCCAGCTCTTGTTACAGAAACATGAACATAATCTTCAATGCAACCTTGTATGGTGCCATCTTTTACTTATGAACAAAAGGCACAAGGTGGTTTGATTGCAAACGAATTCACAAGTTGTTCGATGGACTTTTTTTAACGTGCACAAATGCATAGAAGGTTATAACAATATATTATTATACAGCTACGGGTGCTGCGTGTGTGTGTGTGTGTGTGTGTGTGTGTGTGTGTGTGTGTTTGTGTGTTTGTGTGTATGTGTATTGTGTGTGTTTGTGAGTGTGTGTGTAGATCAGGTAGACAAAAAGAAGACCAAATTGTTAATGCAGTATGAAGCCTCTGATATACATAAGGAGAAATTCTTTGCTGACTGAACTCTAACGAAGAGTGGGAGAGTCTTCTAAAGTCCTGAGACAAGAAAAACTTAACAAACAGTTCCCCACCACTGAATCATTCATCTGATTAACAGTCCTTCAGGGGGTATAGAATTCTGACATAAATCAAGTTCTCAACCCATCCACCACCCCCTCCCCAAAGGAAATACACTTACTTACAATTGGAGAAAGAAGGATAGAAAGAGAGAAAACACTCAAATGAAGGAGTATGATTTCATAAATCACATACAATATCCCATTCATGTAAGAGTGAGAGATGTTTATAGTGGTAAAATAATGAATAGCACTCAGTCTGTAATTTCATTCTCAGTTTTAAATTGGTCTTTTAAATTCTTTCTTATAACAGTATTTCGTGCTTTCATATATTTTTAAACATACCAGGGCTTCAAATAAGAGAAAACACAACGCCTAATAACCGCGAATACAACACCGCGTTCCCAAAAGCCTACTGATGAAATCGTGAATTCACGACCGCATCAGGCGAGATTGGAATATGAAAATCGTGAATCCCACACTTTTTCGAAAAAATGACCATATACGGTAAAAAATGTACTACAGTATTATTTCTAAATGGTAATTGAATAGATTTATCCATTTAGTTTATATCTTGGACGCCAAATGACGGAGAAAATCTTTTCCCTCTCCTGTAAAATTTGCATCGTGTGGAATTCACGATTTCATCAGGCGACCTACGATATGCCACGTTCTGGTAAGTTGTGATATGAAAAAAGCTTAAGTTTCACCTAGTGGTAGTTTAAAATTGAGGATAAAAAGTTGGAAACTCATCCTTTTAACCTAAACTTTTGTTATAAGCATGCTTTTCTGGGGTCAGTAAAACTTTACTTCTATGGTCCATGTTAGTACAGGCAATATCTCATGACAGGTTGGATAGTCCTAGCTAGCTTAAGTAAAGAGTTTGCCAATATTTGAGTGAGTATCATTACGTTTACCAATGTTTAAATGAGTGTCATTTCTGAGTGAGGAGTTTTGGAGTGGCATAACTGAGTGAAGAGCTTGCCAATTTTTGAGTGAGTGTCATTACTGAGTGAGGAGTGTGCCAATGTTTGAGTGAGTGTCAATACTGATTGGCGAGCTTGCCAATATTTGAGCGAGTGTCATTACTGAGTGAAGAGTATGCCAATGTTTGAGTGAGTGTCACTACTGAGGGAGGAGTGTGCCAATGTTTGAGTGAGTGTCATTACTGAGTTTTACAAATGTTTGAGCGAGTGTCATTACTGAGGGAGGAGTGTGCCAATGTTTGAGTGAGTGTCATTACTCGGTTTTACGAATGTTTGAATGAGTGTCATTACTGAGTGAAAAGTGTATCCAGAACTTTACCAGTGTTTTAGTGAGTGTTATTTCTTAGTGTATCACTCATCCTTTATGCTCTTTTTCAGCCATGGCCAGTCAAAGGAGGGTCTTGGGGCTCCAGCACCACCAGCTACCCAGAGATAATTATCACAGGGTAAGATTTGTTTTTTTAATTGATTGTGAACCTGTGGATGTAGTTGAAGGTGTGGGTTTTTACACCTACATCGACTACAATTTAGATGATTTAGGAGGCAGGCTTCCGACCCTGAGTGTCCGGGCCTACTCGGGCTGAGAGGGATACAGTATCCCAGCTGAAAGATGGATATACTTGATAAAAGTTTCTCCCCTCTTGGGAATTGAACTCGGGTCTCCTGCATGTGACAAGGAAGCGCCTAAATGCTATACCACAGAAGCTGGTTCACAGGATATTTAGCAACTTAATTTCAGGTTGATTAGGGAAACATAAACACTCAGCTATGCTGAGTTCCTAGTGTACTTTAGACAACTGGTTTTGTGTGAAAAATTATTTCATCTTAAGAAACGGCCAGTCTATCAGCCCTTAACTTCACATTTATTGTGGAAATTGGGTGGTGCAAATGCCAGACCATAAGTTTGTACTATGGTATTAATATTGTTTTTCTTACTTTATACTTTTCCTAACTTAGGAGGATGAAGACTATGTAGTCAGTGGTAGTAGTGGCGGCGGTGGCCTTGATCTTTCTATGTTATTGCTCAAAGCTCAGTGAAATGTATATATTGCTTTCACTCCTTTATCTATGTAAACAGCCTTCTAAAGTTGATAGATGTATCATGAAACCTGTCTATTTTCCTTTTCTTTCAGTCACGCTGATGGTTCTTTGAAGTTTTGGGATGCCTCTTCAGGTAAGTTGAATTCCTTTTTTCCCCAGCAGATTTCAGAAAAACAAAAAGAGCAGTATTCAGCAATTCAAATTTACAATAATCCAACAATGAAAATGCAAGTAAATTTGAATTCTATACCTAAGAAGAAGGGGGGGTGGGGGTGGTATGTAAACTGTCTCTTCCCATTTCTAAATGATTTGGCTGGAAAGATCTTATGGTCTGCTTTTGTATAGTATAGCCATTTTATGTTTATATAAAGTACTTGTCAAAGTCAGATTTGATGCGTCCTGTCACAGATGGGGTGTAAGTTTAAATTCTTTGTGTGTCTAGTTCTACTCCCAACTTGTCGTATGCTGTTCATTATGTCTTTTTGTGTAATGTATATTGTTCTTTCTCTTGTCATGTTCCTCTGCCTGTTTTGTTCTATTCCCAATGTGTTGTGATCCATTATGTATCAAACTCTGTTCCCCTTTTGTCATGTTCAGTTCCTCATGTGTTATGTGTCCTGTTCTTTCTGTTCCCTATGTGTCATAATATTTCATGTGTCATGTTCTGTTTCCCCACATGCCAATGTTCTCATATGTCCTGTTCTGTTCCTCTCTTGTTATGTTTCATTTTTGACATCATGTTATTTTATTGTGTCATGTTCTGTTCTTCAGATGTCACATTTTATTATGAGTCAATGATCTGTTCTCCTTGTGCTATATGTTCTCCATGTGCCTTTGTCTGTTTCTCACGTGTCATTTTCTGTTCATTTTGTGCTATTTTCTGTTTTTCTCATGTCAAATTCTGTTCCTTTTGTCGTTTTATGGCATGGTCTTCTCCGCTGCTGCCATACACCATATTTTGTTCCTGATGTGATTGGTCCTCCTCCATTTGTCTTGTTTTGTTTATTATCATGTCGATTTGTTTCTCCTGTGGGAGTTTAGCGGGTGCTCTGCTGTGGTTTACTCTTTCTGATCTATCCTATCAAACATCTATCACTCTTATCTCTCCTCCTTTTTTTTGGTAACTCCATGAATCTTCAGCGTGTATATGACTTAATTGTGTTGCAAGTGCCGTGGTCGGTGGTTGACGGGTGCTCTGGTGTGGTTTGCTTTGTCTTTCCTGTCGAACATCTATCATCCTTATCTCTCCTCCTTTTTTGTGTTTGTTACTCTCTTGTAACACCTCTAATCTTCGGCATTTCTATGACCTTGTGTTGCAAATGCTGTAAAACACTTACTAAAACTAAAGCTAAAGCAAGTGCTGTAAAACTGTACTAAAATGCAAAAAAAACCCCAACTAAACTTGTTTCTCTTTACTCAGTGGGTGCCTGGCCAGTGCTCTGGTGTGGTTTGCTTCTTCTTTCCTGTAAAAAAACTATCATCCTTCTCTCTCCACCTTTTTTGTGTGTCTTACTCTCTTGTAACGCCTCTAATCTTCAGCACTTATTTGACCTTATTGTATTGCAAGTGCCGTAAACCTCTTACTAAAAAAACCCAACTCTCCTTACTCAAACTAAATCAAATGAATCATGTCTTGTTCTATTTTTCTCCTCCAGTGAATCTTCAGTTCCTTTACAAACTCAAGACTGCCAAGGTGTTTGAGAAGCCAAAGCGGCCATCAGAGGATAAGGACGATGACCCGTTTGCCATCCAGAGCATCTTCCTGTGCCCGGAGAGCAGAATCATGTGTGTGGCCGGGCCCACCCACTGTATACTCTTCAAGTTTTCCAAGCAAGAGGTTTCCATAGACTTTGTTGTAAGTACTGGGATAATAATTATTGCTGGCTGCTTTCCTTAAACTTTGAAGTACGTACTGAGGAAATAATTATTGCCTCTTGGTTCTTTTTTCATTTAGATTTCCATAGACTTTGTAGTAATTGCAAAGGTGGTTAATAAATACCTTGAGTTTCTTTAGTCACTCTGGTTTCCATAGACTTTGTAGTTAGTACTGAAGTAGTAAATGCTGCTTTGTAGTAAGTACCAAGGAATTCATATTATTATCTCCTGTGTTCTTATTTCACCTGGATTTCCATAGAATTTGCAGTAATTACAAAGGTGGTTAATATCTCTGTACTTGGGTTTCCATTGACTTTGTAGTAAGCGGTGAAGTGATTAATACTGATTTTTTATTTCATTAGTTAGCTCTGAAGAACTATCAAACCTGCCCTAAACGCCACCCTGTATTAATTAAGAGGACCACTTGTCTAAAATGGCAACTTATCTCCTCGACAGTTGGTGGCTGTCTTAGACATTTTTAATGTTAGTTAATACTGATGGATTTTTTTTTGGATTTTTTAACTTGAGTTTCCATTTTTTACATGAGTTTCCATAGACAGGGGTTTTCATGGACTCTGTGGTACCAGTGTCTACGGTGTAATGGTTAAGCTCTTTGCTATTGAAAGAAGAAGACATGAGCTCAATAAGCTGTGTGGGAAAGTTATTTTACCAAAGGTCTCTGCCTGTCTGCTGAGATACCGTCTGCCTCTAAACACTGAGTTGAAGAGGCTTGCTTTCTAGATGATCTGAATTGTGTTGATAGAGGCATTTACTGTCAATCAAAGTCAGTCACTTTATGTCTTCTGTTGTCTTGCTCTCCCCAGACCCTGGAGTTCTCTATAGTGTACGAGGTCTACGAGGAGATGGACTCACCAGAGTTTGATTTTTCAAAGCCCAGCCTCAGCGTCATGGGTCAGCACAGCAGCAGCATGGGGTCTTACTCCTCCAATGCCTCAGACAATGCCAAGGTAGGTCAATGTCTGGTTTTGGTTTGATTAAAGTTTTTTTGACACTTGCAACTGCAGAAGGTCAAGTTAATTGTTTTCATGTTTATTTTCAGGAGGGCTTGGTTTTACTCGGCGAAATCAGAATGGAAGTATCTAATAATATATAGTAAAAATTGAATTTTAAAAGCAGCAGAGTACAGACTAGTAGATGATTAAATATGTTTTGTCCTGAATATACGTGTGATTGGAGAATGCAGTTGATACTTCCTACTTCATTTCATTCCCCCTGTTATTTCTGTCTGTTCGTCTTGCCTTTTTCCTGCTGTAATCAATTGTTATCGTGTCAATTTGTTTCTGTTTACTCAAACACACCAAAAAATATCTTAAATGAATCATGAGACTCCCTCCTGGTAACTGCAGCAATACTGAGATAACAACTTCTTTTCTTCTGTTCTAAATGACCGTTTTTGTTTTGTTGTTCTCTTTTCTAGAACTCGTATAAGTTTCTCACAAATGGTTGGAGAATGCCAGTGGTAGATCCAACTTCTTTTCTATTCCCCCTTTGTTTCTATTATTTTTGTATTACATTTTTCTTGTGCTAGATGATGGTTATTGTATTCATGTGCTTCATTGTACTCAAGCTCGTACAAATAATACATTTTGTGGGTGGTTGGTGGATGCTCTGGTGTGGTTTGCTCCTTTTTTTTCCTGTCAAACACCTATTATCCTTATCTCTCCTTTTTTTTTTTTTTCATTTTACATGATAGTAACACCTGTAATTTTCAGCATGTGTATGATTTATTTGTGTAACAAGGGCTTTAAAACTCTTACTAAATCTGAAGCTCAAACAAATTTTTCTCACAGTCTGAGACGGTGACGTCTGTGAAAGCCAAGACTGGCGCCCGGCGCTGGGGCCCAGGATTTCTGCCTGACCTAGTGTGTATCCTGTGTTGGGTGGACGGAGAGCCTCCAGGCAATATCACAGTCATGTCCCTCAACTCTTCTTACGGCCTGTAAGTAGCTATCGGGCAACATCACAGTCATATCCAGTCACGTCTCTCAACTCTTCCTAGCCAATATCACAGTCATACAGTCAAGTCTTTCCGCTCTTCCTACAGCCTGTAAGTAGCCACAGAGTCATATAGTCATCTTTTTCAACTCTACTTGGCCAATATCACAGTCATACAGTCATGTCTCTCCATTCTTATTGACGAAGGTCTTTTCACAGTCTGACAATAGTGTTTCTCAACTATGCCTGGTCAGTATCACAGTCATATTTCTTCACTTTCCCCTGTCAATACCCCAATCCTTTAAAAGCGATATCAGAGTCATGTCTCCCCACTTTTCCTGGTCAATATCTGTCAAGTTTCTTGGTCAATATCACATTTATTTATCTTTCCACTCTTCCCAGTCTATGTGACAGTCATATCTCTTCACTCTTCCTAGTCAATGTGGTAGATTTCTTCACTCTTTCCAGTCAATATCAGTCATGTCTCTTCACTCTACAGGGAGAGGAGAAGCCGTTCTGTGTCGGATGCGACACAGATTTTACCATTAGACACATTTTAACAGAATGTCTAGACTTTGGAGAGATCCGAAGGAAATATTATAAATGCAAGAAATTGCAGGATATTTTCTCCGTCGTTGTTCCCAGCAGAATTTTAAATTTTATAAAGGCCATTGGCCTTTATGGCGAGTTGTAAAGTGAATCTGATATTATTTAAAATTTTTATTGTTACTTAAAAGTTGTTTTAGATCACAAATGTATTTACACCGAATTTGAATATTTTAACTTTTTAGCATTTTAAAGTAAATTAGTTACCAGTCGTGAAGTGAACTTTCGCAGAGGTGAACAACTTGTGTTTCGCGCGCTCATATGACCTTAGCAGTTGCGAGCGCCGTAAAACCTTATACTACTACTACTACTACTCTTCCCAGTATCCCCCCGGGGCGGTGCCACTGACTGTAGTGTCTTTAGGCCATTCCCAAAGGGGGGACAATTCTCGTTCAAGCACAGTAGAATTGTAAATGGGCTGATTCATGTCACGCTCATAACTGTGCCTTATCTACAACAGGGAACTGCTGCTTTTTCTTTCCTAATCCTTACTGTTGTCATTTTCCTCTACTTCTTTTGTATGTTTGTCACACTCTTGTGACCTGCTATTTCCGGGGTGCCTTGATAGTCGAAACAGACCTTCTGCTGTTGAAGCTAGAGAAGTGAGCAGAGTAAGTCTGATTCCCTGTAAAGATTTCTGTGTTGACACCCACCCCTTGGCGCTCATATGACCTTATGCAGTTGCGAGCGCTGTAAAACCCTCTACTATAAAATAAAACAAAAAACAGCTCTTCCCAGTCAACATCACAGTCTTGTCTCTTCACTAGGGCTGGGATTATACGGGTAATTTGATTCCCAGGTAATGCCCGGGTAATGAAAAAAATACCCGAGCACCCGACATTTCAACAATCATATGTTGTTTCTTTACTGCTCTGCCTGCTTGCGATTTCATTTGGGTGTTTTCCCTTCAAATGCTTTAAGAGGCTTGAAGTTGAAGACCCCTCAGCTCTTGCTATGCTTTTGCAGATGTTGCAGGAGGCGCTTTTTTCATCTTTTATTTTCTCAAAGTAATCCCAAGCGTATGACTTTTTAAAAAACATCTTGATAGAAACTGTGCCGAAGGGACAAAGCCAAAGAGATTTAAACCCTTTTACTTCCCATAATTCTTAGAAATTTTCCTCATCTCCGTTGGATTCTTAGAACTGCGCACAAGTTGCTTCCATATATAAGGACATTGAAATTGAAACTATAGGCCTGGCCCTACCGAAGTATCCGATTGATTCTTGGAAACTTTCTTATAACATGCCCAAATGTGGCCTTTTTTTTGTAGCGTGTTGTTTTCCTGGGAAAGGAGGGCGGTACAAGTAGTGGTGGGCACTAGTCGATATTGGCCCATATTGAGTACTGTATAGGCTGTGAGAGCTCTGTATCGATAAGTACTCAGTACTTATTAAGGTTCGAACGAAGGGGCGTAATTTAAGTGCAGTTTCTTAGCATTAATGAAGAAAGTAGAAAACCCGGGTACCCGACACCCATACCCGGGTAGCCTGTTAGGAGCTCTTCACCCGGGTACCGGGCACTTGCCCAGCCCTACTCTTCACTCTTCCCAGTCAACATTACTGTCTTGTCTCTTCACTCTTCCCAGTCAATGATACGGTCATGTCTATCCGCTCTTCCTCTACAGTTTTTTATTGTTTATATGTATTTTATAAATTATACATGTAGGGCCTTTACAAGTTGATGCAACAGAGAGAAAAAAATGCATAATGTTGCGTTCACTGCAATCAATGGTTTCATTTGCTTAGGTAGCCACAGACACCATCTTCACAAAATGTGAAATTTACACAAAATGTGTGAAAGAAAATTCCTTGTGAATATTTGTTATCTTTTTTCCCCTCTGTATTTTGCAGTCTGGCGTTTGGCAATGAGTCTGGTCTGGCAATTGTGGATTACCTGCAGAAGACCTGCCTGCTCAATCTGGGCACTCCAGATTTATATGGTATGCCCTGGGAACAATTCAGTTCTGATTTTTGTGTATGTCTGTGTGTGTGTGTGTGTGTGTGTGTGTGTGTGTGTGTGTGTGTGTGTGTGTGTGTGTGTGTGTGTGTGTGTGTGTGTGTGTGTGTGTGTGTGTGTGTGTGTGTGTGTGTGTGTGTGTGTGAGTATGTATGGTGAGTATGTATGGTGAGTGTTTGTGTGTGGGTGAATGTAGTGTGTGTGTGTGTGTGTGTAAAAGAGAGAGCGAGAGAGAGAGAGAGAGAGAGAGAGAGAGAGAGAGGTTAAAAAAACTATGTTATCGCATGTCTGCATTCTGTTGATAGTTTCATTTTGTGAAATACACCCAGTGGACTACGCATGAGTCAGCTTTTGTCTGGCATTTATTGTGAAACAATGAAGTCTCCACTACTCAGTAGGAGGTGACATTTTGTCATCTGTACAGCATAGCTGCCAACCAGTATGTTAAAAATGTATTTTATATGTTTAAAGGGGTCTGAGTACGAGGTCTAATTTTGTATCTGAAATTATGTATTCACCGTTTTCTAGTGTTACTCCTCAAGGACTTGCTGATACTGAAGAGAAATTATGAACTTGCAATGCCCACCATCTTGACCTGTTGCATGGGTAGAATCTGTTTTTGTTAGTTTTTGAAAAGTTAGCAGGCATTGTTCTGTGTTCCGTCATGGAGGCAGGTTCTGCTGGTGTGGGTCTATTATGTAAGACAAGATAGGGTAATGATCCTCCACCGGAAGAAATTGACAGTATGCTTTCATCAGCTTCTGCAACACACAATATACATGGAATTGTAACAATACATCACATTCTCCCTGTCTCATTCCAAAATGTAAATTGGTATCCTTATGAAAAAAACCTCTGAGATTGGGATTGAATGGCTTCTGTGGGGATATTCAAAGTACTTGTTTCTTTTGTTTGTGAAACTTTTCTATTACATGTTTCCTTTGCCAGGCTCCATGGATCCATATCAGAGAGCCCCACGGTCTCCTCGCTCCAAAAAGTATGCCGGTGAGGGACTTGTTCAGACCTCAGAGGACTGCAAATCTCCTACTGTGGATCAGGTGGGTGGACCAAGTTATTTTCTCACAGACAGTGTAGTTTTTTTTTGTCATGGTTTCCTGTAAATTTTGAAGAGAACATAGAATAAAAACCAGAAAAACAAAGTAACTACCTTTGATCCCGCTTTTCTCTGGGAGTCAAAAACACTTGAGCTTTTCATTTTCCTTGCAACCGCAACAAAGAGCTATGATATTTTTATAGTTTTTTAAGCTAGAACGGCAAGCCAGAATTAAAGAAAGCCTTCCAGCATCTGTGGTGTAAAAGTTATGCTCTTCACTGTTGCCAGTGTGTCAAGTATCTCTGTCTGTCTGCTGGGATGCTGTGTCCCACACTGCTGGGGTTGGCCCTTACAGACAGGATCAATGCAGTCCTGCTCCTAAATGATATAAATTGTGTTGGGGTTGGAAACATTTATATATCATCTACTAGCAAGCCTTCTGTATGGCAGTTCTCTTTCATATGTGGCACAACCTCCTTTGAAAGGTCTTTCTGTTATTTTTAAACTATTGTTGAGCTGTTAAAAGAATACAGACCGCATCAATATTAAGTTAACTTCTGTTTTGTTAAACAGCTTGGTAAATATGAACCTTGAACTGTGTCCTTTGAATGAATCATTTGAGTAGATATCATCAAAGTATAGTTTTGCACTGTTGAGTTTTTTAAAAAATATGTTGGTTTTAGGTCTATGAATTTTTCTTTTGAATATGTTTTCTTTTTTAATTTGATGAGAAGAAATGTCCGTAGCTGCTTTTGCAGTTTGAAAAACTACAACATTGTAAGATAAGTTGGTTTATGTTTTTTTCTCTTTATTCATTCCTGTGAAATGTAATTACTTTACGAAGAATTTGTCAATGCCTATGACTACTACAGGAGAGTTTGACTGAATTCTACTCAGCCTTCATCAATGTTTTCTCATGATGTTCACCAGCCAGTCTTGATGAAATAACTCCCTCTCTATTCCTACTTAATCTTGAAATATTTGGAATTACAGAGGGTGTTGTTTGTTATTTTAAAAAAGGTACTTAGTACGTCAAACCCAAATTACTTTCTGGGATAGTTTGAGGGCCCAATTAGTAGGTCCTCCTGCTGTTTCTATCGGTCTATCTTACTTTTTCTCCTGCACTTGACTGTTTCTTTGTTGATGTGCTTCTCTATATTCGTAAACTATCAAATAAGGCTACAGTCTTGTTGTGACTGAAAAGTTGACTGCTTCAAGGCAGATCTTGATAAGAACAGGTCAACAACAATGACATGCTATTTTCTGTTCTCTTCTGTTCTGTTTGTCTATGGTCTTGCACAGATGAAGTTATTGCTCCTCCTTCTAGTCTGTGTGTCTGTATATGTGTGCGTGCGTGCGCGTGCGTGCGTGCCTGCGTGCGTGCCTGCCAGCGTGCGTGCCTGCCAGCGTGCGTGCATGTCGTCCTAGTAATTACACGATCTATTGGGGTAGTGAAGGTCTCTCCTCGTGAATAAACGTACAGTCAAACACATATTTCACTTGTGATCTGGACTGTCGTATATTCGCTCCTCTTGATGGTGTAGGGGAAGGAGCAAGGAAAACTGACATCTGTGGTGTAATGGTTAAATTTTGTGCTCAGGAATAGGGCTGGGGGAGGGGGGGTTGTAGGAGGGGATTAGAGGTTGGTACAGGACATAATATGGGCTGAAGTTAAAAGGAGAGAATACTTGTTAGAACTTTACTTTGATTAAAAGTCACTAATCTGTAGTGTTGATTTTTTGTACGTGTAACGCTGAGGAATGTAGTCTGAGGTTCTGAACCTGTGTTGAACTGCTGAAAACCTTTGTCATTTGCTTTGTCGTATGGAGGGCCCAATGGAAAGATGAAAGATACCACAAACTAGAATTCGTGAATGGATCAATTAAAGAAATGGAAGATTCAAAACTCCATTTCTGTTCTACTGTTAGTTGATTACTAAAGTTCAACTTCCCATTCAACTAACAATAACAATAAACCACCAGTCAAACAGAAATGAAGCTTTGAGTCTACAAGCTGTAGAAATTTATACCCTCATGATTTCCTGTTTGTGATAACGCCCATTTTTCCATTGAACCATTCCTTCTTCTCACCTAGCTTCTCTTCTGCATCATTAAGACAATGGAGTCATTTTTCTTTTCTTCTGATCGGGACACTACCAACCCCCCACCAACACCCCCACCCCCTCCCCCACCTTCTCATGATACTGGGTTATTATACCCTCCTTAAGCATTTCTCCAGTCCCATTTGTTTTCTGTTGGGTTTGTTCTGCCATATCCTGACCTCTGACCTCCCTGCGTGTCACCATACTGATATCTGACCTCTGCGTGTGTCATCAAACATAAGTCATCCTCTATTTTGGTTGTCCTTCCTGTGACCTCCGACCCGCGTCATCATGTGTTTTTTGCCCGTCACTGTTTCTCTGCTCCTTATTGGTTTCAGTCAGTCTCGTACCTAAACCCCTCTCAGGGAGTGGGATGGGGGCACCCCAGCTCCTCAGCTCCCCCCTCTCCCTGTGGTGGGCCCGGCCCCCGGCCTCCAGGTCTCGGTGCCTCTCAGGGTGGGCCAGGCCCCCCGGCCACCACTACCAGCAACACTGGCAAGTCACAGCAACAACATCATCAGCCCTTGATGAAAGCAAAGTCTCTGACACCGACTAAGTCAGCCCCACCCCCCATTACCCCGGTACAGCTGCAGCAGAGACAGGGCAAGGCATCTCTGGGCAAGGCTTTGTCTGTGGGCTGCCCCGAGTCGCCACAGGTTGACAGCCGCCAGGGCTTTCAACTGGCAGCTCCTAAGAAAGTTCCCCCTCCCAGACCTCCTAGTCCCAAGCCCAGGATTGTCACGGGTTCAAGTGGCAAGAGTACAGAAGCACCCAGTTCTCAGAGGGAAGAGAAAAGAATTTCGCCAGAACCCCTGAATCCGTTTGAGGAGAATTACTTTAGTCAAGAGGCCAGCACAGGAGTTTTGAGCTCAGAGTCAAATGTCCCGAAGGCCCCGCCTCGCTCGAGGAAGCAGCTTCATCAGAAGACGCTAGTCCACCAGCCCGCTCTCGATCTTCCGCCATCCCCTAAGAGGGAGTCCGCCAGCCCCAGCAGTATTCCCACCAGCCCCTCCGCCTTTCACTCGCTGGTGGTAGGGGAGGGATCGGGGGCGTTATGTGCTTCCCCACCCATCCTCACGCCTGTGATATGTCTGCCCCGCTCCAGCAGCGAGAGCCGAGAGATAAGCCGGTGTCAGAAGTCCTCGTCCTGCGAGAACCCCTCCTACCTGTCACCCTCTCTGCCGGGCAAGCCCAAGAGTGTGAGCACCGGTGACCTCCCCTCCGCTGAGCCCCGGAGGTTGAGAAGTGCCTCCAGCTCCTCTGACACAGGGGCGAAGAGGGAAAGTGCGACCAAGACTTTCTCTGACCCACACAGTCGCACAGCCAGTCGGGAGAAAGTCTCCTCAGAGGCAGAAGATCCTCTGAGAAAGTCTTCTTCAGATAGTCAACTTCCGGCCTCCAAGGATGAGGCTGATGCAGCGTGTAGTACAGAGCAAGAAGAGTTGGCAGGACATCCAGAGGCTTCCAAGAACTGGCTCATGAAGAAGATCCACCGCAGGTCCAAGAAAAAGAAGAAAAAGAATGCAGAGGGAGGGGAGGAGTCTCATGATTCTGCTGCTGCTGGTGAGGGGACTACCACAACAACCGGTGAGCTGGGTGAGAAGGCAAAAGATGGCGGTGCTGTTGTAAGCTCTGACTGTGATAAATCTGGGCTGGAAGATGGCCAGCAGGGCCAGGAGGTCACCGGACACAAAGAGGAGAAAGAAGACAGCGACGAAGCACTCTGTGACCTGGAGGGGCTGGAGTCGGTCCCGGGGGGAATGGGGGGAGGGAGGAGGAGCCCTGGCTATAACAAAACGTTTTTCCACCGCGTCAGTTTGAAGATTAAGTCCATAGGGTCCCGCAAATTGTCCAACGAGGAGGAAGATGGGAAAGAGGTGTCTGGTGGTGGTAGCAGCAGCAGCTGCGCTGGGCCGCTGTCCGCCCATAAACTGCTGCAGAAATCCATGGACCGGCCTCCCCGGGTTAAGATTGAGGTGCTGGACATGACCGATGATGGGCCCAAGAAGCACAGCATGCGCCGAATGTACTTGACCGATGTACTGCAGTCCAGGAAGACTGTGGGTAGGTACAGCAACAACACGTCAACATACGCAACACACCCACCTCCTCCTCCTCCTCCTCCACATCCTCCACCACCACCTCCACCTGTGGATGTGCTTCCTGTACGCACATACACACGTGTATTTAACCTTGTTTGGAACCCTCACTCACCCAGTTCTCTGTCTCTCTCAACAGCTTTTGACCATTTACTAACTGCCTGCGAATGTGCTCTGTTGTGACTCTGTGGTCGAGACAGTTTTTACTTCATATATGTCTTTTAGGTTTCGAAAACTACATTTTTTTTCCTTCTTTTTTTTTTGGTTCCTGTTTCAGATTTGTTTTCTGTTTTCTTTTCGCTGCCTTTCCCCTCAGCATCCAGAGGTGGTCTGGTTACACTTTGAGGTTTTTTTCCTCAACTGTTATTGTTGATATTTTACTTCAACCTGTTCACCCAGTTTTTCAGAGCACATTTGTCAATGAATTGAATTCTAATCTACTTTTTTTTCTTTTTTTTTTCCTGATTGCTTTTCAACTTGTTTTCCATGGTTACCACGTCCACCGGCCTGCCCCACCCTCTCCCATTTCCCAGCATGAGAAGCATCGTTGCAGCAACACTCCAGCATGATGGCCTCATCGTTGTCTTTTGACAGGATCCAGCTCCGTCCTAGGTTCCTCATCTCTTTCTCTCTCTCTCTTTCTCTTCTATCTCACTTCCTCTCTCTCTCTCTCTCTCTCCTTCTCTCCCATAGTGCTTCCGGTAGTTTACTCCCGATTTTACTTTTCAGTGGGCCCCCCCCCCCCCCCCCCCCCATTGTCATGGAATGGAACGCCACCTGAAATATAAACTTGTTCAAACAAACGCCTCCACCTTCCGCGTCTTGCTGCCACCAACGACGGCAGTGCGTCTTTTTGACCTTGTTTTTTGGGGGTTTATTTTTTTTGGTTACTATTCATTTTATGTCAATTGGCTTGTCACAACTTACATCCTGTATGCCTCTTTTTCAGGGTGAGCTCAAATTGCCGTCACACTTTCTCTTGTGTGAGGATGTGAGGTTTCGTCAGGGGCACCAAGGCATGAATGCATATAGCTCTCCATTTTTCAAAAGACGTAGTAGCACTAGTCGTTTATTTTACTTATCTATTTTATCATCATTATTATTATTAATATTCTTATTCTTATTATTGTTATTATGGTTATTGTTATTATTACTATATTATTATTACTAACAGTCAGTGTCTACACTAGTTGTCAAGTCCACTAGCTCTGTCCAGTTGTTGACAAAGTTGGACTGTTTTGGACATGAGATGTGGCCAGTCTAGGCTTTATAGCATCATATATACGTGTGGCTTAATTGTGTTCTATGTCAGGTATGCTTGTGTATCATCAAGAAATCATAAAGTAACAGGAATGTCATCATCTAACTTTAAACTCAAGTTATCCTCTTCACGTGTTTAGTAGATTGCACCAATGATGGGAATAAATTTAGGTCCTGTGGTGATAAAGTTTCATAGAGAGGTGGGAGGTAGATTTGAAAATGTAGAAAGAAGTTACAGAAATTCATTCATGCATTGGCTCCCTCTTGTCTCCCGTTTTGGTTTTTTCTCGTGTAATTTAAACTTAACCCTCCCGACATTTTGGAATCACTTTCTCAGTTTTTGCTTTTCCTCCTGGGTTTGATGCTGACAAGTTTTTTTGTTTCTTTCCCCCTTAGTGAAAGGTCGTGACCTTGTGACCAACTTTTTCAGTTTTTGCCTCCCATTTTTGAGTCTTTAAGTTTTCTAGTCCCTCCCGACTTTCCTGTTAGAGTCTGTTCATCTGTGCTATGCAGAATGTTTTTCTCCATTGTGGTGACTGAACATGACGTGAGCTGTAAGCATGAGACGGCTTTATCTTAGCGCTCACTCGTGGAAGCATGGGCTTGAAGTATTGCATTATGGCTCTAGAGATACAGTGTGTGTCCATTTTTAACTGTACTTAGTCCGACCTAGTTCAGTTTAGATCATGGAATCAGTTGGACTTTTATTTTGGTCAGTTTGGTTTGTTGCATTTTGTTGTAAGTGGTGTCAAGTCTATTTTGCTTGTTAGAGCAGCAATGTTCTCCATCACTTACAGTAGGACATGTACAGCACTCACACCCACAAACACACACATATGCAATGTATGCAATTACTTTTCATAGTCACTTTTTGTGTTTTTGTAGCGTTCACAGTTCTTTTCCCAGACATCTCATGGACACAGCATTCTTTCATGGATTCTTTGGACTTAACAAAATACTGAACATGCTCATATCCTCATCTGTGGAGATATATTATAGTGGCCTTCATTTGAACTTATCAGAAGTGTGTATTCACAATTTAGGAAGCTGCATCCAGCTTAAAACCATTCTTGCCATCGCCTCTCGGGTAGTTTTGTGTGATTCTGTAAGTTTTATCCTTAAAAGTCTGTTCATGTTTACACCAAAGAAAGCTCCTGGTATGTTGTCAAAACAGCATCAGTTCTCAGCCTCAGGATTAGTTTTGAGTTTGGCATAGCAATTACTTATTCTATTGTTGGAACTTCTCTGTTCCTTGTCCCAGAAATGGGGGACCAAGTTGAACAAGAATTTAACTTTAGTGAAAAGAGTTCCTGAATGTCCTCTTGAAGTTTATTATCTCCAGAGCCCTGGCCCTAACAAATTTCTTTGGTTCCTTTTACACCTGTTCTAGTCAGTCTGTAGTGTTTGTAAAGATGTTTGTTCAATTTTCAGTTTTATCTCCGAATTCTTGATCTCATTTCAGTTTTGTCCATGTGTGTCTCCTCTTACTACCATTTTGTTTCTTGTGTGTCTTTCATTTTGATCCGCTGAGAAAAAGTACGTTTTTGACTTTGTGAGCCGTTAACACCATTTTAGGCTCTACTGTGGCATACTGGAGCGAACAACACGGCTTTGGGGACTGGCAGAGCCTGCAGGAAGCTACATGTCCTTCGCCCATCACTCGGAAACATCTCCATATACGCTAAATATTTTCTCCACTTCTTTTTACCCCCCCCCCTTCCCTCCTACACCCACTGACTGCCGGTCCTCCCTTCTGACTTTGTGTGTCCCCCTCCCCCTCTGGTCAAATGACAACGCTTGGGGTCACACTGGGAAATTGGCGGATAGATTAACGGCGACTGTCTCAGTCCAACCACCCCTGGGATTCGAACCACTAGGAAACAGCTTTCTGCTGAAACACGCCGGCCCAAGTCTGGGGCCAACAGAAAGTTGCAGAGAGTCCACAGTGTAGCCTCTATGGACGAGCCCTTCCTCAGTGCAGGAGGAGGAGGAGGAGGTGGTGGTGGTGGTGTGTGCTCTCAGCTTTACTACTATGTCCCTTCCGGCCTACATATCATATAAATACGTCCTCTTTTGGTGTCCTTTTGTGGCAAGCTGCATTCTCATCTTCTTCTGTGCGTCTGGTCGTGTCATTGGTTCCTGCAGTCGCTGGTGTAGACTCATCATTGTCCATGTGGTCATCCTCGTACATGTCTCTCTGTACTCACACACACACAGTTATTTCCCTTCTTGTGTGCACAGCTCCCTGCTCTACCTGTTCAAGTGTTATTATTTCATGGATATCTGCGCTGGTTTCTACTGTTTCTTATCCTTAGTTACTTTCTTTTCTCGTTTCACGTGTTGATTTCCTTATGGGTCGTTTCTCAATGATTTGTTATGGCTCCTCTGTCTATGATTTTGTTATGGTTCATTTCTCTATGATTTCGTTTTTGTTAAATTTTTGGTTATTGTTACTCTTGGGTTTCTTTTGTGTGACGGTGTCTCACCCCAGACCGATCGTGCTTCTTTCATTTTGTCGTTTTACTCCTATTACCCTACTTTTTGTTTCATCAGACATTTTATCGGCAATTGTTTAAGTCAGTTACCCAATTATTTTACAATACATTGCTCAGTTGAGGTCATATATGTGACGTGAACTGTGTATAAAAGGTCTATTCTCAAAGCTTTTACCTCCCTCCTAAATCATGTTAATTGTGCATATGGAGGCGTAAAATGTGTACAGTTATTGTGTTCACAAGTTTGGTTTCTTAATGTAAAAGAATATTGTTCAATGTTTAACATTGTGACCCTGGCGGTTTGAAGAACTTGAACTGTCAATCTTAAACTTGTTTGTGGAGTTTCTTTTGAATTGAAAAAGAATGTGGACCTTTGCGGCCCATAATTTCTACCGTTATCCAAATATACTGTTATGGCTTTGAATTTTAAGAAGTAGCCTGCTCAAGAGCAGTACCTTGAAGTAGTTCTTTTGTTGCTGAGGTTGTGTTTTCATAACTTTTCTGAAGCGGGCAGGACAAGTCCGGCTTATTCTTAGTTTTTGTATACCCCCTGCCCCTACACACATATATACATAAATATCTTCGTGTTTTGAAACTTCTTTTTTTTGACAATTCACTCCATTTTTTCATTTCATATTGGAGTCCCGTTAACTTGCCAACAGATTCACATGTGTACACCCATACATGAACATATGCGCGCACACACGTGGGTATGCACACTCATTCACATAAACGCACATGGACATATGTAATATACACCATCTATTTTAATGGCTCTTAGCCTCATTTTTTTTACGTAACTCAAACATGCACACAAACACATACACACACTCACACACTCCCACACACACACACTTGTATACACACACTCATACACAGGCACTCGCAAACACCACCACACACCCACCCTCACAGACCCACTCACACATAGACAGACAAAGACGCACTCCCACAAACACTCAGGGACACATACTTATTCACACAGACACACACAGACACACAGACACACACACACACACACACACACACACACACACACACACACACACACACACTGATACACACACACACACTGATACACACACACACACACACTCCCACAATCAAACAGACTCTCACACACAGCCCACAGAATTGCCCTCAATTACATACACACTTTAATTCCGACCTGTAACCAGTGTTGACCAGGGTTCTCACCGTGTGTCCTGTTGAACTTGCCCCAGGGTTTCGCGTCCGACCACACCACCATAGATCGCTACCGTCCCTCCACATGTTCAGACTTGCCTCTGCTATGCTCACCAGTAGCTGTAGTCGCTTGCCCCGTCTGCTTGAGGAAGACGATGGTGGTCCTGAGATAGAGAAATACTTTTTTGTGCTTTCTTCTTTCAGTCACATGACTTACTTTTAGACCCTTTGGTCTTGAAATACTTGTGTGATACGTTTCTAACATGCCCGTAAACTTTTAGACGTTCCAGGATGGAATCACGTTATTGTTGAAAGGGTCACGATTTGTTTTTGTCATTGTTACAGGTTTTGTCTTGACAGTAGAGTTTGTTGTGCATTTTTGTGTGTGTGTGTACGTGGTGGTATGCGGATATGTGTGCGTGTGCGTGTGTGAGTTGCGACGCAACTATCCATGACTGTAATGGATGATACTTAGATAGAGTAAAAAACAGAGGGCATAAGTTTCCTAGTTCCAGTCTCAGAGTTGGTCCAAAGAGTTTCTTCACATTTCATGCTTCTTTCTGTCAGTTTTGACTTTGTTGAGAGAAAAGAAAGTCGCTGGTCTGTGCTCTGTTCTTCGCTGTGGCTCAAGTTGTTGCTTTGGTGAAATTTGTCATAAGTTTTAGCTTGCAGTCCCTGTGGTTTTGTGCACAATGTAGAATTGAGATGAATACAGGCCTTTGAGAAATGTCTTTTTAAGATTGGAATCCAGAGATGTTTTACAGAATTGTATTCTCAGTTGGGTTACAGACTCCTTTTAGATGTGTGATTTCTGTCAGAATACAAAGAGCTTTTAGAAATATGTTTTCATCAGGAATATTTACAAAATAGAGAGTGTATTTTTAATTTTAAAGAAAATTGGAACAATTTAAAACGTTTATATTTTGTCAAATATAGTCTTTTGAGAAACATGCTTTAAGTTGAAATACAGATGAATATTTGGAAAATTTCAGTTCGAATGTCTTTTGGTACTGTTTTGAGTTTTTCTGTCCATTGATTGGCGGACCTAGGGTACTTTCTATTTGTAGTTTCTCTTAGTTCCCTGCACCAAGGATTTGTGTCAGTCTGCCCATCTGGTGATGGATTTTAATTTTCTTAAAAGTCGTTTCGACATGGATGCCAGCAATCTGGTGTGGACAACCAGAACTCTTGTAGAAATGTAGCGTGTGCTTTTTCTTTTCTCCAATGACACATTTCTTTTCGTTGTGGCTAACATTTTAAACATAGATGAAAGAACAAAATGTTGAGTGTTTATCATTCCTATGGCATAAATGTTTGATTTGGTCTATGTGTATCAGGCTGAATGTGTAGATAGATGCATGCTTTATTTTACTTTCATTTCTTGATTTTTTTCCCCGTTTCAGTTTTACACAGGCTGCTCCAAAGATCCTTCAATTACTCTCTAGCTTAAATATGATGTTTTACAAAAATCTCAGTCTATGTAACTGAATACGTGAAGCTGAAACCAGTAGCATTACATCCAGTTTCATGGAACCTTCTGTTGCCTCCAAACGTTTGCAATGAATTTGACAGTTGTTTTGTAAAACTCTTGTCTTCAGTTATTTGTAATTTTTCATCATGTTAACATTTTCATAACACTTGTGAGGCTGGAGCAGCCTGTCTGGGTATTTTCACTTCACTCTGAGGTCATGACAAGACTAATCACACTGCAGAGCCATGGCATGACACGCAATGATTTGATCAAGTGTCAATGTTGCTGAGTGTTTCAGATTTCTTTTCGTCTAGTTTGACCAGCTCTGTAAAGATCTCAAACACCTGGTCTTTTTACTTCGTATAAAGATTCTTTTTTGGGACTTATCCTTTGCGGGCATTACAGTGCCCCTTGAATGACCAAAACTGTTTGAATGGGGGTGTAAAACACTGACAATCATTTTGCATGGCATGGTTCTCATGTTTGGCAGTGTGGCTTTTTTCCCTTTTTTTTAGTGTGGCTCACGTCGTCCTCAGATCTGTTTATCATTTCCCTTTGTCATTTTTATTTTAGTGACTCCTGGAATGACGACTGCACTATCTGTGGGATATATCTAGATGTTTTTGCTTTTCTTTTCCACTTCTTGACATTTTTAGTGAATTTTATTTGCATTCTTGATTTATCTGCATACTTTTATGTTCCATGTGCTATCTGTATGTTGTTGCTGTAGTGCTATATGTGGATTTGCAACATTTTTGTTAATGGAACACTTCATTAGTTACGGTTGTACTTACTTGTTGGATCAGTTGCCTGTATTCTTAAAAAAATAATTGAATCTTATATTTTTGTATGCATTAGTAAAGAATGGAAGTGTCACTTTGTGTGAGACATTCTGACCTTCAAGTTTTTAGAGTAGTGCTGTGTCTGGATGCTCTGAAAAAGTCCAAATCTGAACAAAATACACACGTCTTTAAGTGTAAAGTGTGTTGGAGGAATTTTCAGTACACTTAGGCTTAGAAGGGCTAAGGAAAAGGAAGTCAAATCTCAGTTTTAAACCTGTCATTTGAGCTCAAAAGGGGTAACACGATGAATCAATTCTCAGTATTAAAACGGAACACTTAGAAGGGTAACTATGAAGTTAATTCTCAATTCTCAGCCCCACCACTTTTATTTGGAAGTGTTAAAAGGATGAAGTCAGTCCTTAATGCGTAAGCTACTGTTCTGCAAACACCCTGCATTTTCATCATTATGATACTAAATCAATGAAATGAACATGAGTACAGATAAAATATGAACATTCATGGGATATAGTGTATGATCTCTGTCATGGGTACAGCTAGAATATAGACATATCATGGGTACCATATAGGCGCCAAGTACATCTAGATAAGGCGTATTGAATGTTTGGGTTTTTTCCCACAAGCAGCAATGGATTCCAGTTGATATGAATAATGATAATATGGTGCATTTATACTGAATATATCATTACTAGAAAGAAGGTTGTATTTGCTGAACAATATATTATGTGAGTATTTGAGAGGTAAGCTCTCGTTACTGACCCACAATGCTAGGACTTGACCATACCAATGTACGAAGCATTTTTATTAATCTTTCTTGGTAATGAAGTTTTCAGTTTTGTTTGATTATGAAAGCAGAGATAAGACTTCCCCTTTATAGGCTTTGATTTGTTGATTTTGGAAGTAGTCAGTGAGTAGGAAATGTGTCCACTGTGATGATGATGAATGTCTCTGGTTGGGCAGTGGTCACTCGTGCTGAATGTTGACCGTATATCTGGCAGACAAAGTGGACGGCTCCTCGTTCTCCCGGTCTCGGAGCTCCAGCATGTCAAGTCTAGACAACGTGACCAAAGAAGCCATCCAGTGTCTGGTGTTTGCTGACTCCTACACTCGCAAGTCAGGTCTGTACAGAGTGTGGTTGGAGGAGGACTGCTGGTAGTTCCTACTTCTTCTCTTCATCTCTGATATTTTTGTGTGCCGGTCTGTCATTCTTTTGTGTCTTGTGTCTGTCTGTTTGTCTGTCTGTCTGTCTGTCTGTCTGTCTTACTCTGTTGCAGCACTAAATGACCATTATTGTGTTAATGTGCCTCTCTTTATCCAAACGAACAAATTAACAAACAGACAAGCAAACAAACAAACAAACAAATGCCAATGTGCTGCTCTTTCCTTAAACAAATCAAATCAAATGTAAGCTCTTCAAAGTGTTCTACTCTTTTGTTATAACTTACCTGGTTTTTATTTGTGTGTGTTTCTGCCCTTTTATGAGTTTGTGTATATATTTATATTGACTGCTCAGCGTAAGACCCTATCTACGTTACTTTATATTTTTTCGCGAAATGCGGAGTGTTACTCTAAGTAGTCAATATTTATGTGCACGTTTTGTACGTATGTATTTCTGTATGATCTCCGTAGTGCTTTGGTAAATTGCACATTAAGGTCTTTGCTGTTACACTCTAAAGACATGAGTTCAGTTCCTGTTTTGGACGTCTATTGATGTCTCTCTGCTAGAATAGTGTCCCACTCAGCCAAGATTGGCCCAGACAGGTGAGGTCAAAGCAGCTCACCTCATAAATGGTCTAATTTGTGTTCATAGAGGTGTAAAATATTAACAATAATAAGAGTGTGTCAACAGTGATCTGAGCAAGGAGGTGGAGAATGCCATTGTTAGGTCCTTCTTCACTCACCTTCTGTCACGTCTATTTATCTGTCTTGCCTTTTTCTATGCTGGAATGACCTTCATTGTTCCCAGTGCTTATCTATGAAAAGAAACCAAGAAAACTATCCAAAATAACCAAAGTAAGAAAACTATCCAAAATAACCAAAGTACCTTGAGTAAGTGGGGTTTTATTTGTATCTGACATGTATGAGAGCGAAGATAGAGCTTCGTGTTTTTTTCTCTTAAGTTTTAAAAGTATTTTTAAAAAATTGATATGTGTTTGAATTCCAGCAATGATTTTCAGTAACGAGAGCTTACATCACAACTTAATTTGTCTTTGTTGTGTGTTCTCTCTCTCTCTCTCTCTCTCTCTCTCTCTCTCTCTCTCTCTCTCTCTCTCCACTGATCATGTGTATGTGTTATTTGACAGATACAGAGACTTCACCGTGCCTGTGGGTGGGCACCAGCCTGGGATCGGTCATCGTCATTGTGCTTGTGTTGCAGCCAGATCAGCGCCTCTCTCAGCCGGTTATTGTCTCCCCCAGCGGTGAGTGCGTCAGACACACCTCCCCATTCTTGTCCACTCTATGACTTGTAAGTGGTTGGCTTGTCCACTCTACGACTTGTAAATGGTTGGCTGGTGCTGTGGTGTAGTTTGCTCCCTTCCTCCAATCAAATATCTGTCGTCTTTGTCTCTCCTTCTTTTATATGTATGTTATTCTGTAGTAACTTCCCTAATCTTCTGCGCTTCGATAAGAATAATAAACCTCACTTATATAGTGCATTTTCACCAAGAAAGTGGTCAATGTGTTTTAGAATAATACAAAGAACACAAAGACCAGAATATGGCTCTAATAAGAAACATTTTTCTCCCACTTAAAAAAGTGTGGAGACACATGAACACACACACACACACACACACACACACACACACACACACACACACACACACACACACACACACACACACATATGCACACACACACACACACACACACACACACACACACACACACACACACAGACTCACACACACCACACAAACACACACACACACACACACACACACACACACACACACACACACACACACACACACACACACACACACACACACACACACACACACACACAATGTTCGGCAGCCACTTAATACAGAATAGCATGAACAACAGAGGTGTGTTCTGAAACATCATATTATGTGTATTGGGAATGTCGCCCATTACTGATTAAAGCAGGCCAGGAACAAGTGCGTTTTAAATGCAGATTTGAATTTTTTTAAAGTGGTTGTATCCGCTAGGTATGTTGATTGTGTGTTTCACAGGGAGGAGGTGTGATGGGGAAAGGCCTCTAACTTTTACTTTTAAAGTAAAGGACAGCTATCTTGTACTGAACAAGTGCTTTCACAGGGAATTTGGATTAACATTGTTGTTACATGCTCCTCGACAAGATTCTTTAGAATTATTTGAAAGGCTTGATTCTGAAGTCGCTGTAACCTGTAAATCATTTCAGTGGAAAGATTTCCAAAAAAGAATTACAGTAATCTAGTAACAATCATCACATCTGCGTTCATGTTATAATGTCTATATTGTTCTCTTTATTCTAACTAACATTTCTCACATCTATGTTCTTTTTATCATATCAATGTACTCCCCTCTACTCCCACAATTTTCACTTTTATGTTTACATTATCATATCAATGTACTTCTCTTTATACTCTAATAATCATCTCCTCTGTGTTGCTGACAGGGTCCCTGTACCGGATGAAAGGAGTCATTGTATGCATGTCCTTCCTGGACTTCAAGGGCGGCCTCATCCCGGCCTTGAGCGAGCAGTGGCGGGAGGTCAAGGACAACAAGGACTCCAGTGACCGTGCCGCGGCCAAGAGCACAAGCAGTGAGTCACGGTCGTCTCTCGGCTCTCGTACATCAGGTGTCTTTAATTTACTCCCTACCACGAGCCATGCTCTTTGCAGCTCACACCACGCATGCTTTATGGTTGTGAGCAGCTTTTCATGGCTCTACAAATTCTTTTGTTATGGAAACAGTCTCGTCTTCAAGCCATTATTTTACGATTAGGTTCCTTTTTTGTTTTCACTGTTTGATAGGAAATTAGTTCCACTGCATTTTGCTGTAGAAATTATATTTATTCTGATTACAGTCAAGTGAGAAAAAATGGCTGCCTAAATGGCCTGGTAGGGATAGAGTCAGCACTTTAGAGATGGGCTATGTTCTTTGTTATTAGTTGACATAAGTAACATGCTTTTTAATAGACATAAAACAAGATATTCCAAAACAGCTGAGAGCTCTGCTTTTTAAAGAAATATAAGAATGTGATGAGGCATAGCTCTGCATTGCATGTTTTTCTTTTGATAAAGGCATTTCAAAGAAGTTCCAGTATAAAAATTGTTTATGAATTTATGGCGCTACAGCTGATTCATCGGATCTATTATTACCACTCCAGGCACTGAGTTGTCTAGGAGTTAGTCTCCGGAAATCTGTGTAGTACACCTGTAAACATGTCCGTAACCTGATTTCTCATAACTTACATTTATGATAATTTCTTTTTCTTGCCTTCAAGTCTATACCATACCATTCTAACATCATGAGCCTGTTGTGTCTCTGTGTGCGCGCGTGTGTGAGTGAGTGCGTGCGTGCGTGTTAACTTAATCATGTTTGTATGTATGTGTATAAATTTGTGCCAGGAATATCAGCTTCTGTTAAATTTTAGGAGGAGAAAAATATTTCTGATATTTACATCCTGATGTATATACGCTAAAGACATGAGCACTGACCACTGCCTGGTACTTACAGGGCAAATGTCCGTGAGCAACTCCAAACCAAAGATCTCCCCAACCTCATCCACGGAGATGAACAATGACCGACAGTTTGCCATCATCTGCTCAGAGAAACAAGCAAGGGCCATCTCCTTGCCATCTCAAACTTGTGCTTTCAAGGTCAAGGTTACAGAGACCTCCTTTGTCGTACGAGCGGAGATTGTTGGCATGCGGGGTATGTATGCTGTGGCAGGAAATTGACATTATTTTTCTTCCAGCTGTAGCTCGTCCAACACAAGATTTAAAATATATATCAATTCTGACAGGTCTTTTTGAGCAATGTTTTTTTTTCTTGTTTATAGGTTGGTGTGAAAGGGTTCTTCTCCCTGGCATGAGTGGCTAATTTCATTATAGTTTTTATTCTGTTTTATTTGGTTAAAACGAGCAAAACAAGGATTTTTTGTAAACTTAAAAATGGTGTACAAGTCTTAATTGAAAGAGAAGGGGGAAAAAAAAAATCAACTTTCTCTTGTACCTTTAAAATACAATGTATAAAAACGTGATGCAAATCACTCTGCAAGTCATCACATTTTTTTTCTTCAATGAATTAATTTTGAACCCAAAGCAAAGAGAAAATATTTCTGATTAATACTGGGCCAGAACCATTTACCTATATATAATTAAGACAAATTGATACAAGATTACTGGCATACGTTTGATGAAAATTGGTGCGTGCAATCAAAAGTTATCTGCAAAAAAAACCTCGTCTTGTTTTTGAGTTGGACGAGCTATAAAAGCAAATGCAAGAAGTGTCTTGACTCTGTAATATCATCATGGCTATAACACAATATCACAAGTCATTTATTTTTCCTGGTTTCTAGTTATTGTATCGTAAAAATGACTGCTATTTCTTTCATATTCTCAACATGCAAGGTTTTGTCTGTGCACCAAGTATCCCATTATTAATTCTCTTTTGCTCTTGCTCAAGTCATAAGATTGACCTAGGTTAGCATTGTTTTCTTTTTTAGGTTTTTCTTTAACAACAAGAAAGGATTCGAGTGATTGGTTATTGTGATGATGTGTACCTTTAAAATTGTTTTCGTATGAGGTTTATTCTGGGCCTTGAGTAAGAATAATCAATTGAAATAAAAATACCAGCTGGTCAGTGTACATGTATATTTCTGGAAAGAAAAATAATCCTGAAGCAAAATTAAAAAGTCAAATGTCAGCCTTAATGTCTACAACTTCTTGTTCTAGATTTTTTGAAGAGGAGAAATGGACCCCTCGGGGCGGTGCCACTGACTGAAGTGTCTTTAGGCCATTCCCAAAGGGGGGACATTTCTCATTCTAATGCACAGTAGAATAGTAAATGGACTGATCCAACAAAGTCATACTCAAAACTGTGCATGAACTACAACAGGGAACTGCTGCTTTTTCTTTCCTAATCCTTACTATCGTCGTTTTCCTCTACTTCTTTTGTATGTTTGTCACACTCTTGTTTTGTTCCTCCAGGCTTTTTAATTTTGCTTCTCACAAAGACTGGTATTGTTCCTTCTGATTTGACAGGTGATTGGAGGGTGCCACTGGTAATTCCTACTTTTTTTGTTTATCACTCTTATGTTTCTGCCTTGCTTTTCCCAGCACCCAGCACTTGTTGGACTGCTAGTTTGTTGATACACTTCTCTTTACTCTAATGTTCCTGTTTGTGTTTTTTCTTCCCCAGAGAGCGTGTGCCTCATGTGTTACGTTGCCAATGGCCACATCCTGGCTTTCAGCCTGCCCAGTCTCAAGCCTTTATTTGATGCAGATTTCTTGCCTTTACCAGATTATAGGTAAGGTTTCACGCAGCATAAGGTCAAGGGGAACGCCGCATATAACCCCGTAAAGAGTCGCAAAGAATGATGTACGCTAAAGTGGGAAGACATGGATAATGATTGTGAAAAATAAGTTTTCATAAAAAGACGTAAACACAATGGTGATGACTCTCTTCCCCCTGCCTCTCAGTGCACATGAACTTTTTTTTTTTGAGTTGATGCTCGTTTTTATCTTTTGAGTCTTTGTTATTTCTGTTTGTGAACAAAGAAAGATTAAGACTTAACTATTACTCGTGCAGGTTCAAGAGAGTGGGAATCTTCCTCTTTGGGAAAATTATAACGTTGAACGATATGGTGGTAAATGCCCCCTTATCTTGTGTCCACTGTGGCTGGTGTAAAAAAAAGAGTTCAATTCCTGAGTTTGGAAGTAATTCTTTCAGGTAGTTCAGTATTTGTGCTGGATTGTTGTATCCCACTCGGCCCTGGTTAGTCTTGTTAAGGAGGGTAGAAGAAACAGTCAACCTTTTAAAAGATTTCAATTCTGTCAATGGGGCTTTAAAACATTTAGTTTTTGAAGAGTTTTATGGACATGTGTCCCTTTTTGGGGTTTTATGTTTGTGATTCTATTTGTGAGTTGGTACAATTATATTTCAGCTCTAGGATGGAACGATAAGAGAGTATGAATTACAATTAGATCTATATGTAAGTGAAAACATATACAGTGATTGATGTTGATCATGTCTTTTCCTCTCAGAGTGGCAAGAACGTTTTGCTTTAGCAACAATGGTCATGCGATGTTCCTCTGCTCTCCCACGGAGATACAGAAAATTACTTACTCTGCTGACATCTCGTGAGTACTGGTCCTCTATTAACTCTCTCTCTCTCATTGGTGGTTAGCAGGTGTCCTTGTGTGGTTTGCTCCTTCTGTCCTATCTGTCATCCTTATCTTTGCTCTATTTTTGTTTATTAGAAGCATCTCTAATCTTCGGCACTTATACGACCTAATTGTATTGCAAATGCGGTAAAACTCTTACTAAAACTTAAGTGAAAAACAAAACAAACCTCTCTCTCAAGTTTAAAAGTTTTTGTTACTTGACCTTTGGACTTTTGTTTTTACTTTGAGGGGGGTTTGAGGGCACCTTCGATAGGTCCTATTTCTTTTGCTGTACCACTCTTATTTCTGTCTTGCTTTTCCCCCCAGCAGAAGATGACTGTTGTTGTGTTGATATACTTCTGTTTTCTCAAACGCAAACGTGTTGTTATTGTTTCCTCCAATGTATATTTAACTCCAATAATGTTATCATATTTTTGTGTTTTTTCATACAGCGAGAATTTAAATGAAATGCTCGGTGAGTTATTTCTTCCACGTGAGACCCCTGAAGCCCCCAAGCAAGGTTTATTCAAGACTCTCTTCGGTGGTGGAGTCTCCACACTGGACAGGGAGGAGCTCTGTGAGTACCGGGCAAACTCACCCTATTATATCTCCTTCTTAACTCACTGACTACGGTTCCGGTCACAGGGACGGGGCGGGCGCCCAGTTTGCTGGTACGGATCCCGTACCCCCGACGGGTTGGACTTTGTGATTTTGTCCCGTATCTTGGGCTCCCTTCATTGGTACGGGAACGGACTTCAGTGCTAGTTTTGCCACTTGTTTCGTTTCGTGTCGAGTTTGCAGAAGTTGCGTGGTAACTTTTAAAGTAATTAAAGTTGAAGGACAGTCACCTTGACTGGGGTTGACCTGACCGGAACTCGCGCTATTTTTTTTCTACACAGCTGATAGTAATTCGACAACTGCGTCGAAGTAACAGTCGAAGAAGTCGCATGAACAAGAATCTCATAATTTTGCTGTTTTCAATACTTCTGTTCGTTTTACTAGTTCTAGTGACTCAGCATATGATGTGACTGATAGTTAGGATCCTGGATATGTACCCAATCACGGCCCAAGTCGCAGTTTTAGGGCTAGATCTAGCACTAGTACTGATGTTGTTGTTTGCGCGACAAAATCTTTACTTCGTGCCCTACAGCTGTCTCATGTAATTCAGTGTATGGGTCTAAATCAATGCACAGCTAAGCTTTTTGTAATAGATTAAGTTTGAATGTAACTTTACTGTCTCAAAAAATAACTACAATAAGGTAATTCTGAGAGTTGTGGTGGTGTTTTGAAATACCCCCAAAAATGCCAGTATTCAGCGCCAGTGACTGGTGAAAGGGACCAGTAGTCAGTGAGTTAAGGGTTAAGTTTGTTGTGAATCCCCACTTTGTTGTGCGAATGTACATGTGTCCGTGTGTATGTGGGGAATTGGATAATGATGATGATGATGATGAGGATGATGATGATGATGATGAGGATGATGATGATTGGAGATTGGAAGGAGCCACGGGGAGGTCCACTTCTTATTGTTCCACCTATCTGTTATTTCTGCTTGTCTGTCTTACTCCTTTCTGTTTGTTATGTGTTGATGTACATCTCTTTGGTCAAACAAACAAGCAATAAAGAAGAGTCCTGTTGTGGATATAGTAGATAGTTCAATGCTGCAATGCTCGGAGAAAAATGAGAAATAAACTGTGAAGTTAGTTTGTCTTCCTTGTTTTATGTTAGCTTGTGTCTGTGGTAGGCACTACTTCTTTTCTCTCCCTTTTCTGCTTCTGTATGTCTGTCACACTCTTTCACTGCTCGAAATTACTGGTATTGTGTAGACGTGCTTCTCTTTACTGAAACAAAAAATTTTACTCTTTCCCGGCGTGAAGTGACTGCCATTGTATCAATGTACTTTTCTTTACTCAAAACAAACCATCGTGTCTTTTGTCTTGTCAGATGGGTGGTTTGTGAATGTTCTGGTGTAGTTTGCTCCATCTTTCTTATCAAACACCTTTCATCCTTATCTCTCTTCCTTCTCTTCATTGTATGTTACTCTCTAGTCGGGGGGATATAAATAGACCCACTGCTTCGTCTGCAGAAGGTGCAACCCCCTCAAAGACGAAGTGTCGCACACGGACCCCAACCCTTTGGGATCCGTGTGCGACACTTACTTTGGTGTATCTTCCTTTTCTCCTTCCTTGTTTCTTTCTCCTTCTATCTTTCTTCCCATCGCTGACCTCATGTGCTGCAAAAAGAGAGGTCACCCATCCCACAGAGTGGGCGCCTTGTTGACCGTGAGGTGCGACCCGTGCGGAGGGAAACCGGGTACCTGGCGGTTGAGGTGAGATCAGTCTACGGACTGTCCCTCACCAACACACCTCTTTGGCCCAGGTTTCCTCTTACACGAGAGGGTGGCACGGCCCATGCCACTCAATCGGTTGGGAGTTGAAACATCAAGCCCTGGGTCAATCTTGACGGGAGGGTTTTATGCACTCTCGTGGAGAGTATAGCTCTGGGGTAGCCCTGGCACAGCTCTGGTCATCCGAGCAATGTGTCCCCTTGTTGGGCTCGATGGCGGGCAGGGAGCCCCTGAGTTGAACCACCTTAAAAACTCTCATGGATTCCTCTTCTAATAAAAACCCTTCCCCAACTCCCAACATTGCCAAAAAGTCTCGGCTCGCGGAAGCGGGGGCGGCCGCCGAGCCGAGCAAACTTCTAAAGGGAAAAGGACCTTTACGTCTGCCTCTGCCCTCCCTCCTCTCAGGGAGCTTCCGCGTCAGCCATACTTGACCATCCGCAGCTCTGATGCGCAGAAAAAGATCACTGATTTAAACATATTCAAGACAGGAGATGCTCTAAGACAGGTTCTGGGATACATTCCTACGAATGTCCAGAAACTGTCCTCTAGTGCTCTCCTCATCAAGTGCGCATCGGATAAAGAAATGGCCGGACTTGAAAAGATTACGACCTTCGGTGGTGCTCCTTGTGTTTCCGAGCGACACCAGAAGTTTAACCAGTCGAAGGGCGTGGTCCGCAGCCATGAGCTGAAGGGCTGCTCAAACCAATAAATTGTGGATAACTGTGAGGGTGTGGTCGAAGCCCGCCGGGGGAGTCCACACTAGAAACGAATACATTAATTCTAACTTTTGATTCGTGCCGCCATCCAGCCACCGTTCGGCATCATACTTGGTCTTGGACTTACGACCCTATGTGCCAAATCCTCTACGCTGCTCTCAGTGTCAGAAGTTTGGCCATAGTCAGTCGCGATGCCGACGTGCAGCTGTGTGTCCTCGCTGCGGCAAGACTGGGCATTCTGAAAAGGAATGCAAGGCTAGTCTTTGCTGCCCAATTACCAAGGCCAGCACACAGCCTTCAGCAAGGATTGCCTGACTTGGATCCAAGAACGCGCAATCCAAGAGTATAAAGTACGAAATGGCTGCTCTTTTTAAGAAGCCCGTAAAGCGGTCTGCCCGCCAGGTATGACCCTGGTCCCTGGCCGGTCATATGCAAGCGTACTCCGGCCAGTCACGAAGTCGACCAGTGCTTCCACTGTCGACCCCCCAGAACCCGCGGTCAACAAGCGACTTACTGCGAAACACAAAAAGGTTCCTCCTACAGCTGTGGTACCCTCCTTCCAGGTACCACCGCTTTGGGTTTCTTGGGGAGGATGGGGTGGACTCTTTCTCCGCCCCCCCTTCTCCCCCTCACCCCTCCTCTATTACTTCTTCTTCTTCTTCTTCTTCTTCTTCTTCTTCTTCTTCTTCTTCTTCTTCTTCTTCTTCTTCTTCTTCTTCTTCTTCTTCTTCTTCTTCTTCTTTTTCTTCTTCTTCTTCCACCTCATAACCCATCTCTCTGATGGAGATTGAGGTACTCCCTCCCCCCTCTCCCCGGCACCCTTCCCAGCCCCCTCTGTCTGCTCCACCTCCCCCTACCCCTCCATTCCCCCCACTACCAACGGAGGATGACATCTCCGACCCCCCTCCCCGGCCTGACCCGGGAAGGGCGGAGTCTGTCACTCCTCCAAATCCCCCACTAGACCGCCGTCCAATCCAGGACGGCAATCTAGAAAACACTCTGCCTCCCCCGCAAGGAGGAGTCAGAGTGTTTCTTCGAAGCTGGGGCCACTGAGCTCCAAAATAAAAACTAAAAAGTCATAATGGTGGTCCTGCAATGGAATGCCGGCGGAATCCGACCTTCCATTGCAGAATTGCAACACTTACAGGCCACACTGTGCCCACGTGTGGCCTGCATACAAGAAACAAAATTCGCCCCGGCTTCACTCATAGACTTAAGAGGATTTACTGCGTATCATCACATTCACACGGAGAACCAGATTGCTTCCGGTGGTACCAGCAGAATTTTGAATTTTATGAAGGCCATCGGCCTTAATGGCAAATTATAAAGTGAAATTATACTATTTAAAATTTTTAATGTTACTTATAAGAGTTTGTTTTAAATTGTAAATATATTTACACCAAATTTTAGTATTTTAACATTTTAAAGTCTAATTTTCGACCAACCGTGCAGTGAACTGTTGCGAATGCTATCAACTTGTGTTTCGCGTGCTCATATGACCTTATGCAGTTGCGAGCGCCGTAAAACCCTGTACTAAACAAACAACTCTCTAGTGGTTCCTCTAATTTTCAGCTCTTGCATGACCTTATTGTGTTGCATATACTGTAAAACTCATACTGTGGGTGGTTGGCAGGTGCTCTGATTTGGTTTACTTCTTCTTTCCAATCAAACATCTATCGTCTTTATCTGGCTCCTTTTTTGTGTTTGTTACTCTCTTGTAACACCTCTAATCTTTGGCACTTATATGACCTAATTGTGTTGCAAGTGCCGTAAAACACTTACTAAAACAAAAACAAAAACCTTAATAAAATGAAAACTAAACAATTTGTGTCTTGTTTTTTTTCATGCCAGTTGGAGAAGCCAGTGGCAAGGCTTCCAAGGGTCTGGCCAAACACATCCCAGGCTCTGGGAATCTCCAGCAGCTGCAGTACCAGGCCGCCGCCTCTGGCAACGAGTTCACCCGCACCAGAATGGTCAGTTCGAGAGCTGCTAATTCTATAATACAATTGCTTAGTGTAAGACTTTATCCCATGCTCAAAAGTGACATATGACGGTCTTACACTGAGCAGGTGAATAGCTTTTTGTCTCTGCTTGCAAAATGGTCCAACTCAGATTTGTGTCCAGCATTTTATTTTGTTTGGTAAAATCAAAACAAAAATACGCTGGCAGTCACAGAGGAAACATGCAAGACAAGTTTTACCATTTTTAGGTGATAAATAGTCTAGTTTAACATTTTTCATTTTTCTGAACAGTAGCAGAAATGAGTGTGCCATTTTGCTAGCGCAGTGACGATTTGTAGCTTATGGAAGGGGGATGATTTAAAAAAAAAATGTTTTTGCTCTGTATCCTAGATATGTGTACCGAAAAGTTAGGTGTATTTCAGTCCTCTGGTCTCTCTCTATATTTGTGTGAGCGGTTGGAGGACAGCTCTTGTAGGTCCTAATTCATTTATTTCTTTGTAATTTCTGTCTTGTCTATCATCTTTAAACAGTAAAATGCAATTATTGTGCTTACGTGTATCTCTTTTGTCAAGGTCTAACTGATATCTTTTATTTGTCTTTTTATGAAATTAATGCGGGTGTCTGGAAGGTGCCCTGGTAGGTCCTTTTTCCTTTCTTTCCCTTCTTTGTCTCTGTCAATCTTGCTCTTCTGTGCACTTAATGACCATTAAATTATTGCATAATTGTGCTATTTTACTCAAACAAACAAAAAATGAATAAACGTTACTGCAATGTTCGAAATGCCATTGCATCAGTAGTATACCAACAGAATGTTAACTAAACTCTCAGCATATATCAATATATATTTTTTCAAAATGACACATGGTAGAGTCTTACCCTTAGTAGTCGATGCGTATTGCACCATGATCATACTATCAGCATCCTCCCATTTTTTTTCTCCAGCTGTTGTCGGAGAGGGGTGAGAAGCTGGGGGATCTGGACGATAGGACGGCACAAATGATGAACTCGGCTGAGCAGTTTGCCCAGGCGGCGCATGGTCTGGTCAACAAGTACAAGGACAAGAAGTGGTACCAGTTCTGAGGGAGGGGGGAGTGGGAGGGGCGCACCGTGTGTTGCTTGTGTCATCTGTGGTCAGATCAGAACTAGGTTTTTTTTCTCCACTCCGTTGGTTCCGCCGAGTGGTCAGGCTCTTCTCCAGATTTCTCCCACTTATGGAGGCTGCTCCATGCTGATGAGTCCAAGTTTGGAATGGACATCAGACTCCCCAAGTTTGCAAATTTCTGATGTAGAGGGAGTAGTTGGCATGCTCTGTCTATCTCTGTGTGCGTGTCCATTATGTGCTAGAAGGGACCAACGCAAGGTATCTGGTAGTGAATACCTGACGGTATGTGGTAATAAATACCAGAATGTACGTGCTGGGAAATACCATGCTTTCTTTGTACATGGGGATATGAACGCTGGCATGTTTGTTTTTGAGTGCCGGAGATAGATTGTCGTTTTCCTTCAGTGTACTTTATCAAGATTATTGTTTGCTGCCTTTCTAATTCACAGAAGTTCCAGTTGTAAGTGGATGGTCACTCATCGTCACATTTGATCATAGGAAGATTGTGAATGCTATGAGTAGTTACACTTTGGTTGTTTTTCTTTTTGGGCTGTCTGTCTTGTCTGTCTGTCTCTCTCTCTCACTCTCCACCTTTCTTTCCCCTCCCTCCCCCCTCTCTCACCCCGTTCCCTTCCTTCCCTTTCTCTCTGTCTCTGTCTCTCTGTCTTTGTTTCTTTCTCTGTCTCTCACTCACACACACGCGCACTCACAAACAAATACACACACACACACGCTCACACTCACTCACACACACACACACACACTCACACTCACTCACACACACACACACACACACACACACACACACACACACACACACACACACAAGGTAATTTAATAAACACACACACACACACACACACAAGGTATTTTAATTCCCTTCTCACAGACTTGTCTGGCTCATGCTTCACATACTGTACATAGCCTCGTCTACTGTAGCCCTTTTTGAGTGCGAAAAGTGTGGAAAGGGTCTTTAATCTTGTGAAATTTCCAGTCAGGGTGTGGGTAAGATTTCACTGGTTTTTGCGGTGACATCAGCACAATAGTGGAACTGAGGAGCTGATTGAACCGTGATATGACTTTTTCTGTTTGAGCATGACTAGTCTGTGCCATGCTAGTTCATGATTAGTTAGTGTGTGTGTGTGTGTGTGTGTTTGTGTGTGTGTGAGAAACAGAACAGAATATTTTAGTTATCCTGGTTCCGAGCAATTTTAGTGAAGAGTACTGACCCCCTTGTAATCCCCTCAGGTATGAATTTCATCAAGTAACTTACGAACACATGGACAGATAGTGAAGTAAATTTCTTTGTATACTGTAAACAACTCACCAACAGATTTCATAATTCACTTTTGGATGTGACAATGCAATTTCTTGACATGTGTACAACATCACATCTTCCAGTCTTCTCTTTCTCTACCTTTTTTTTTCTTCGAACCCCTTGTGAGCTATTTGTGGTCAGAAGGCGACCATTCCAATCATTCTCTCATTTGTCTGTCATCTTACGTCTGTCATCTGTCATCTTGCATCGGTCATCTGGCATTTTCTTAGCACCTTGCGGTCATCATTACGTAGATGTGCTTCTTTTTGACTGGAGGGAACTAAATTTAATGTTTAGCATGTGTCATGTAGAAAAACAGTCAAGTTTTACATTCTGGCATTTTATGGTTCATTTAAGACTTGAACTATTGGTTTAGATGTGTTTAGTGGAATTCACTCTATTGCATTTAATGTCTGCCCTTATCTTACATAGGAACCTCTGTCTTCTTTTAAGTGGTGCCAGGTTAAGTGGACTTCTATAAAGAGTGTTTCTTTTTTATTTTAGATTGTCTTTGATGTTCCGTTCTTGTAATGATCAAACTGGTTCCATTTATGAATCTCATTGTAAACTTTCATCATGGCTAAATGTTCATTATCCAGTACCATTCTCTGTTAGCATGTGCTCTGTGACCGAGGGATTGCACGATTGTCTCTTGTCCTGAAGTCAAGACTGTGGGAGAATGTGAGTGCACAGTAGCCAGGTGTTTGACAATGTGACGCGTCATGTCTGAGTTTGTGCTGTTGTAGTGTGCACTGATGCCTGTTGAGAAGAGGGTGAGGCTGGCGCCAGTGTTTGAACTCACTGTCTAGATGATAGATGAACTCCGTGCAATGAAATATTTTTAAAATGAGATTTGTAGGAGCTGAAATAATACTAATTTACTTGTATTTTTCCAATCGAGCAGCCATCTGAGTTTGATCTCTTCAGCCTGACCTGAAATAAAACAAATGTGGCACTTTGTTCCCTTGTTGTCTAGACTTTCAAAGAATTGGTGTTTTCCCATTTGCATTTTATTCAGAGAAACAGTGGGGGAAAACGATGAAAGTGTTTAACTTACGAGGAAGGGGGAGGCAGTCAACATGTGGAACTGAATATATAGCTCGGTTCTTGGAAAGGGGGGTTTTGAGTCTGTTTGCACAGAAGGGAAGGGTGTCTAGGACTGATGAGGTATTGACTGACAGTGAGTGACAGTAAGAGACTGGGAGAAAGTCAAAAAGAGAGGCGTATGTTCTAAGCGAGATAGTGATGTAGATATCTTGAGGACAAGACATACAGCAGCCCTCGCCTTGTGGCTCTTTGTACTACTGCCGTTGATGAAGTTGCTCATGAACATACAAACATGAGCAACTGCAAGCTGTACTGTCTTAGTGAGTGTTGTTTACCGAGCAAATACTGGTGTGTAATCTTGTCTTGTTGGTAAGTTGCTGAATGTCATAGCCCCGCCCCTTCCAAGGGTTTTGGAAGCTAGTGCAAACTTTCCACACAGAAATTAGTACATCATATTTTTATTGTTGTCTGTTTTCATTTCGTGCAATATCTATGTCTGAGACGAATAAGATGCAATCTTTTTATATACATTCACTCCTTTGTTCCTTTTTTGCTCCAGTTCCTTTGATTTTGATTTGTTTTTTTATTTTTACTACATTTTTTATTGCGTAACTTGTATTGTTTGGACTATTCCATTACTGGCATTCCATTGTGAACGTGAAAGATTGCCCTAGCCTGGTTCCTCTGATGTGTTGGGATGATAATGCAGTACCTAGACTATGAGAGAGAGTGGGGGGGTTGGCTGAAATTCTTTAGGGCGAAGCTGTGGATCTCACCAGTAAATTGCGGTGTTGTTTTCTCTCCTTCAGCAAAATGTTGATGTTGGGTACTTCTGCCAGATGAAATAACTGGAGAAATGAAGTAGTCTCTTGACTCCACAAACTAAAACTTAAGTACCCAGCATTGAGCTAAAACAGTGCCATTTGAACATGCACCTACTACACAAAGTTAACTGTATGCTAGAGTACAGTATCTATTTATGGGATGATACATAAAGTTTATATATACATATAGGCCTATATGAGACATTTTGTATTCAAGGATTGCTATGTAGGCAGTATATTGGTCGGTGCAAGCACTAGTAATCCCCCAACCCTGACTGCCTGCCTGAGAGTAGTGTTTTTTGGGTTTTTAAAAAAAATCTCTGCGTGTTCCTGGTGAGTTTTCACTATAGCTAGTTACTTTTGGTTCCCTGCCTGTTATGTAGTGAGCTACTGCTCGTGATATGCAGGGTTTTAAAATCGTTTTTAACCATGTTTTACAAAAAAAAAAAGTTGTGCTTTTCTTGACCCTAATGATGATAAGTCTGATGAGGTGTTTTGTACATATTCTATTATAGATTTATCTCTTAAGTAATTCAATCTATTTGTTATTTTAAACTGAAACTTTTGCAGACTTAGGCCACTAGCCACATTCCTGTACTGTGTGTCCAATATCTGTTTCAGTCACCGACCTGAGACACGTCACAGATATGTCAGGGGGGGTGAGGGGGGTGAGGGGGGTGAGGCTGCCCCTTCCCTGGCTGTGATGTACCAAACGGAGTCGAGCAAAACTGCCTGATGCCATAATCAGCAATGTTCTTGTTGTTGTTGATGATTGTGATAAACTCATTATATATTCCTTTCCTTTGTTTTATGTCATAATAATGAGATTGCAGGCTGTCTGTGTTATTATTAAAATGGTTCACTTGTTTTTGTTTTTTTATATGTTCGCTTTTTTTTCTTTTTATGTTTTGTTTGTTTATTTTAAAAGTACACACATGAATTCTTGTGTGGTGATACAGATATAATATAAATCCATACTTATAGGCTATGTGAGGCAGCGTGGTGAAATCGGGGGCTCGTCAGAATAATGTTATCAAGGAAATTAGCATTTTTCTGGCTTTTGATCAATTTTTCCCTGAATTTTCTTTCTTTTTATGCTCAGACCCTTCTATGTCCTTTTAAAACCACATTTCTGTGTGGATTTTACTGAAAAACGTTGGTTAAAGGCATAGAAAATTGGAATTTTCAATTTCCAAGGACTTTCAAGCTTCGGTGGCCATTTTCTCGTTAACTTTACCTACGATACCAGAACACCCCCACCTCTTTCAATCGTAAATATCTTGACTTCTATTCAAGATAGATGGATATTTTTTTTGCCAAATGCAAGACATGTAAACAAGCTTTACGATGATACTACTAACTTCGTACGCCCAAAAATTGACGAGCACCTGATTCCATTGCGTTGTGACACACACAAACACACACTCGTATAATATATTAAAATTATATATATTAAATATATTCACCGGCAATAGAACCTTTCGACTCCGAGAGAAGCCTGTACTGTGCTTATTATTCAACGTATGAAAACAAAAATTGACACGCACATATTTCAAAGTATGCCAAGAAGTGTATTACCTTTTGTTTCTTGGTCATGTCTCATATGGTAGCCTGGCATTTAGCACAAACTAATAACCCTTGATTTCTAAATTTCCTGTCAGTTGCGGGTATTGTCGCCCGTTGCATTGATGCAAACTTGGCATGTTCTGCGCTTTGGTTGAGACAATTTTGAAAAAAAATTAATTGTTGTAGTAGTTCATTCCACTCTTGAATCAATCCTTGTCCCAGTCGTTGTACAGTGTTTATGTCGTTTTGGGCGCTCACGCTTAGGCCCAAAGGGTGACGTGTCTGGCGAGTAGGCTGGCCATAGTCAAACGTACACATTTTGCTGCTTGCTTCAGATACTGCATCTTTACACGGGCAACGTGTGGGTGCGCATTGTCTTGTTGGAATATGTGAATACGTTCATGGGTTTGAAAGAAGGGAACCAAGTACGTCTAGAGAACGTTCTGGTACTTGTTGGTGTTGACCGTGTGTTGAAAATGTGCGGCTAGGTTCTGTTGTTGGAAGATATTCAACTTCAGACCATCACACTGCCACCGCCCCATCTGTCTGTTTCATGCATGCTGCAGTCTTCTTGTTTCTCTCTCCTTTATGTCTCCAAACTCTTTGAGAAGAGAACTCAATCCCAGACGAATGTGACGATTTGCCCCGTCAGCTCAAGCATAATTCTTGGAAAGATGGCAAACGCTAGTCATTATAGAGGCCCCTTGCTCGATGTTAAATTGTGTTCTAACGCCGTCGTATCCTTCTTTTTCTGTTAACTCTTCATGTGTCTGTAACTGAGCTGAGCTTGTCGTTGTGAGAAAGCGATCACAAAGATGCCAGTGCAGTATCTGTTTGTCTTCTTGGGCAG